CATTATTGGATCTTGGGCATCGCGTTCGTGATGAGCGGGGTTGGCCTGTTCCTTGGGTTCTGCAGGTGCTGCGGCCTGGATCCCAGACTCCGTCGCTGGCGCTATCGGTCTTCCGAGTACCAGATGGTGGCTTTCAGCGATACTGACACGGATCGGCAATCAGTCTGAGGGGTCGATCAATTCGATCGATGTCAGCGAGCAACAGTTATGGGCGCCATGGCTATTTAAAAGGTATTTCTTGATTTTTTTGTAAATATTAGTTGAGCCCGTTATACACGATACCCTTGCTTATGTATATATGGAGTGAGAGAATGCGAAGTTTTGTGTCTTGGCTGACTTGATCACCTACTTCAGCATAGAGATGCTGGTAGAGAATGGCGAGCTGTGATATCAAACAGCTTGAGGCGGAGTTGACAGGAGATGATCGACGACTAATAGCTTCAGAAGAGTGTCTGTCTCCATCGGAAAGAGCTGACCGGTGGGCGGCATGATCTGTTCTGTTGAGCTTTCGATTTTTACAGATTCGTGAATATGAAGCTCAAGGAAATGAAACGTTTGATGCTCACGTAGGACAAAGAGAAGGATGGATGAGTGTGTTGTTAAGCAGTTCCATCCATCATGCCTCGTCCTGTAATCGAAAGAAGCCACTGGCAGTGCCGACCGCTGACCGAGCCAGGCACTAAGGCACCAAGGCATAAAGGCATAAAGGCACCAAAGTCTCCCCCCTCAGGCGACAAGGCGATAGGGCGATAAGGCGGCGAAGGGCGGTTATCCGCGGGGGAACTGGGGTAACATTCCCCGCATGAACGCATTGAAGGGGAGAAACCGACAGGAGAGAAACTCTCTCTCTCTCTCTTTCTTCCCCAGCTTTAAAACCTGAATCTTCGCAAATTATCGATCACCCCTGGGAGGGGAGAAAACAAGAAAGAGAGAAAACAGAAAGACTCCCCCACCTAGCCCATCCTCCTCCCCGATACCCTCTCTATACTACCCAAATCACCATCACCAATCCATCCATCTATCATCCCCTTCTACTTTATACCTACTACAACCATGGCATCTCGACGCATATCCTCCCGACTCTTTCACCCTCAAATCCGGGCACGAAGAACATATTCCACCGCCGCCGCCTCCCCTGCCTCACGCCTCAACCTCTCCATCGACTACAAATCCTCCCCTCTCCTCCACCACACAGCCTCCACCCTGCCCGACCACCTCGACCTGCCCGCCTCGACCTCCTCGAAATCCATGAATCTCTACCAGGCCATCAACTCCGCCCTGCGCACCGCCCTCGCGACCTCCGACCAAGTCATGCTCTTCGGGGAGGACGTGGCCTTCGGCGGCGTGTTCCGGTGCTCGATGGACCTGCAAACCGAATTCGGGTCCGAGCGGGTCTTCAACACGCCGCTGACGGAGCAAGGCATCGTGGGGTTCGCCATCGGCGCCGCCGCGCAGGGGATGAAACCCGTGGCCGAGATCCAGTTCGCGGATTACGTCTTCCCCGCCTTCGACCAGATCGTCAACGAGGCGGCCAAGTTCCGGTACCGGGAGGGGGCGACGGGGGTGGATATCGGCGGGTTGGTGATTCGGATGCCGTGCGGTGCCGTGGGGCATGGGGCTTTGTGAGTGTTTCTCTGCCATAAATACCTTGACTTTTGAGGGGGGGCGAAGGTGCTGATCGTTTTGGGCGGGCTGGTTAGGTACCATTCCCAATCCCCCGAAGCACTGTTCGCGCATATCCCCGGCATCCAAGTGGTGATGCCGCGGTCGCCGGCCCAGGCGAAGGGGCTGCTGCTGTCGGCGATCTTCGAGCACCACAACCCGGTGCTCTTCATGGAGCCGAAAGTGCTGTATCGGGCGGCGGTGGAGCACGTGCCGAACGAGTACTACACCATCCCGCTCAGCGAGGCCGAGGTGGTCAAGCCCGGCAACGACCTCACCATCGTCTCCTACGGGCAGCCGCTGTACCTGTGCTCCGCGGCGATCGAGGCGGCGGAGCGGGCGCTGGGCGCCAGCATCGAGCTGGTTGACCTGCGCACGATCTACCCCTGGGACCGGCAGACGGTGCTGGACAGTGTCAGGAAGACCGGTCGCGCGGTCGTGGTGCACGAGAGCATGGTCAACTACGGGGTGGGCGCGGAGGTCGCGGCGACCATCCAGGAGCGCGCCTTTCTGCGCTTGGAGGCCCCCGTCAAGCGGGTGGGCGGCTGGAGTACGCATACCGGGTTGATCTACGAGAAGTTCATCATTCCCGACGTCACCAGTGAGTGTTTCTCGCCTCTCTTTTCCGATATCCTGTCCGCTACTGACCTTGTCGCAGGGATATACGATGCGATCAAACAAACCCTCGACTACTAGGCCTGGAGCTCAAGAGCTTAATCACGCATGAATCTTTCAACCGGTGTACATATCAGATATTTACTCTAGAAAAACCTGCATAAGGTGACTGGACTAGTCGTGCGTCTACCGCGTGTCTTAATATCATGGTTTAGCGACTAATATCTCGGTTTCATCATCTACCAAAACTATCTCATAATTCTCAGCATGCAACAGACTAAAGTCGGCATTATGAAGCCGGTAATTGATGTAATACCGATACTCGAGTAGAATACAATATGTGCATGTATGTGCCAATTATGTTGAAGCTATCCACAAATAAAGGTCCGAATAGTATGGTGTCCAGGCAGAGCCGTACCGCCACACAAGACCCCTCAGAAATCACAAATCGCCCGTGCTCGTCGCAGCCTGCAGAGCGATCTCCATCTAGTCGAGCACCGCGAAGGTGTCGGTGGAGATCTTGATGGCATCCGTGTGCCAAGTCTTGCCACTGTCGGAGGTGGTGAAGCCATTGGAGCTCGAGCCGCTGTACAGGTACAGGGTCTCGCCGAACTTGGAATCGGCCTCGCTCAGGTGGATGGTGATGTTGTTCCAGCCTGTATTCGAGTCAGATGAATTCGTCACCGGCGTCATGATAGTAAAACGCTGTGCGGCGTAGAGGGAAACTTACTGTAGGCGGGCTGAGTACCGCAGGTGCCGGAGCCAGTGTAGCACTCATCTCCGGAGTAGAGGTACAGCAGGTTGCTGTCGAGCTCTGGGGAGGTGTTCAAGTAAGTACGTGGGATGCGGTGTGTGTGGTATGTGGAATCGAGAAGGCCGGATGCTTACTGTCAGTCTCCTTCGAAACGACCTTGCCGTCAATGCTGACGACCTGCGTGACTTTGCTATCGGAAACGGTGACTATTGCACGTCATCGTTGTTAGTCTCGATGGGCTTTGGACAGAGGTGAACATGTGACTAACCCTCAAAGTCGACCTGACTATCCTGGGGAACGGTCACATAGGCTTGGCCGAGTTGACCACCTGCAGCATTGATTAGCACATCGTCTCTAGGCCTTGTCAATCCAACAAGCTCAAGACTCACTGGGAGTGTAGGTGCTGGCGGCGACACACCACTCCTCGGCGGTAGCAGGGCAGCCCCTGGTCACAATTAGCGGACACGTCTTCTTGCTTGTCATGTCGGAAAAAAAGGTATACGTACTGGGACTCCTGGTCGGGCGACCAGTTGAACAGAGGCTGGTACAGGTAGGAGCTATCGTCACCGGCAGTCGCCTGGAGGCCGATCCAGAGCGAGACCCAGACCTCGTCGTTGGTGTTCTCAACGGTGGTGTTCTGCGGGACGCTGGGGGCGATAACCGACCAAGTAGCCTTGGTGATGTGAGCGCTGTTGGAAGGAGGGCCAGTGTAGAACCCGTTACCGAAGTACCAGGAATCCTCAGTGACAGCCGCAGCGCGGAGGGCAAGAGCCAAGGGAGCAGCAGCGTAGACAGAGCGCATGGTGATCGATGAAAGCGATTTGAATTGAAGAACGAGAGTGAATGAAGCGAACCGGCCGCGAAGAAAGAATGACTGCAAGCAGAGCTGTGAATGAAAGACTGAATGAGAGGATAGAATCAAGGTCCAAAGTAGGCACCGATCGCCGGCCTTTTAAAAGAACAAATGCCACTCTGCAAGAATCATAAGGCGCCGACTAAGGGCTTGTTTCAGGGGCAGGTGGAGTCCGGCGCCATCGTCGACTCCACCAACTGCCCTAACTCCTCCCACTTCAGCCGACAAGCTCGTTTTAATCTGAAACATTAAAAGCATTAAGCTTGATCCATCAGCACTTTGAAATACCTTAGGCTCCGATATTATTGTGGACAACTGTCGCAGTTAAAGTACTCGGGATTTCCGTATTCCGTATAAATTGCCCTACACGGCTGTCTATCTCCATGTGGCTGTCGAAATTCCTCTCGCCCCTGGCGATGATTCGGTCACCTGAATCAGCTTAAGTTCGAATGCTGACGAAATCTGTCCCGACACCTTCCATTTCAAGCATGCTAGCTTGTCTCCCGCTCAAGTTACCAACGGCTATTCATGTTCATTCTCAGGCTGGGATGGGTTTGCAAGGGATTAGAAGACTGAGAGGATGCTTCATATTGTCAGGCTCACTTGTCGGATCCCCGGCATCATACAAAAATGCTCCTGGAGCGTGAAGTCGAGGCATCAACCCCTTTCTAAACAAGACATAGGAGGAAATTGCCAGACTTTCCTGCATGGGGGAACTCGAAAGGATCCAAGCAGTTCCAGACGTTAAGATTGGTGATATCTCCAAAGTCTGCATGGCCAGACAAAATCATCCAACCTCTGGGTGGACTCCCTTTGGCCAGAGCATGATTGCTCGCTCCTGTGCCTCGAGTTGAGAACGTGATCGATTAACATAGTGGCGGAAATCAGGCACATTCCTTTTAATTGAATATGCAACTTCAAGCACAAATGTGCTGCACTTCTCTCGGAAAGCTCAAAAGTCATAGTTATATCGATACATCAAGGTTACAAAAAGCTCGCTCGTAAAATGTGTTGCATTTGGTCGAAATCATCAAGTCGTGAGACTCCCCCAGTGTCTCTCATACAGTGCAGCCGCTATCGTCCAGCGACCCACGACTGCATATTTGGGTTTTCCACTCAAGGGCCCGGAGGGGAGCCAGCCCGGGGAGAAAGTTCGGACATTCCACTACCCCAGAGTCCAAGTGAATGCCGTTTCTCAACCAACTTGAGCACATTATACATGAAAAGGCGCTCTGGGCCACCGTCCGGAAAGACCTCCCAAGCTACGCGGACTGGGAAGGCGAGGCGATTGATCATGTTACCCGGGGCAGTCAAGATGTACCATTCCAGGGTTCGGCAGATACCGCACCCCAGGGCATACTGCTCGGCAGGGCCGACGCGATCTGTCGGTCGGCAATCCGCTGTTGACAGTATCAATCGCGTAGTGTAGTAGAGACACATTGTCTGGGCCAGGCGGAGGTCCGGATAGGCAAACTTTGTCGGCGTGATGATGGCACCAGTGCGAAGATCTCGACATTGAAACACTGGAAACTCGTCGTTTGGTAGTGCCTCGACCTCTTGAGGCGGTCCGTCGGGATAGTGGTCGACCCACTCGATTTTCCACCGGCGGAAGCGCCCGGTCAAGTCTGCAACACCGTTCCACAGGGTTGCCTGTTTGACCTTGATTTCATGTGCACTCGCCATTTGCGAGCTGAGGATGGCTTGGAGATCATCGAATTGAGACAGTAGTGCTGGGATTTCGACAGCAAGGTCCATGAGATAATGTAATATATCTTTTTTGGTGGTTTTCGCTGACCACGGCAGATTAATCCAGTCTTCTTGAGCAAGAAAAGATGGGGTACGGCTGACGAGAGCCGCAGATACCTGCTCACTGAATGAGTACGTGGGGGTTTTCCTATACAGTGGAGGGATCGGATACATACCCAGTAAGGTCGGAGCTCTGTATACAGTAAATGCTCCACACCGTGAACATGATTTTCCGGACCCCGATGTTCAATCAATCGTAGTGCACCGTTGACGTGAGCAATCAGGGAAACCTGAGTAGTACGCTCCACACTCTGCAAAAATGTTACTCGTTGAACTTTAAAGACAAAGAGGATCCTGCGAAGCATACCTCAAACGCCATCAAAAGGATGACCGTTACCAACGTCGACTCAGCCTTGCTACGTTCAGGGTCTTGCAACGCTTGCTGCAAGCTGCGAAGTACCCGTGGATAGAGGCTGAAACCCGCAGCCTCAACCTCCTTGTTCTGAACGGACCGGCCGAAGAAAGCAACCGACACGGACTGGAACGCATCCATCAAGATTGGCGAAAACATGCGAATTTCAGCAGCGCGTCGCAATGCACCTGCGTGGCCCGCTTTAGCATCAACTTCTGGGCTGAATGCATCCACGAAGCGTTCAATGAACACCTCGAGCATCGGTTTTGTCGTGTTCATTTGACAGATCGAACCGTAACTCGAATCCTCGCTGTCCTCGGATGCACTTCGACTGCCATCACGCTGGCCTGCCGGCAAGTACAAATTATCTTCCGCTTCCTCATCACTTTCACCCGGCCTAGAGCGCTGGATTGCTACTATAGCATTTTCTGCCAAGTCCGAGGGCACATGTCAGCTCCTGGGCCCCAGAGTCATCGTCCCCGTACCCCAAAGTTATGACCCACCTTCTGTCCGCTCCCCGGAAGCAATTCCCGAGCCATGCGTAACAACCCGATTTGTTGTCCGTATACTGCTGATGATACCATCGACGACTTCTGATGGGGCCGAACGAATCGTATCAACCAAGCCTTGCAGCTGCGCTAGGCGGCGTCGGTTCCGGTTCCGTTGATCTGGTAGACACACCAGACATCGAGTCAGCACACGTCAAAAGTGGTCAAACTATGCTGATGCTCTTTCAGGTATGGGTCAACGTACCACGGGCATTGAGTTGAGCCGTCAGCTGACGGATCTCATTTCGGAGGTTACGGATCTCATCCGCCTGGCTTATCGGCTGGAGGCTATCTTCGGGGCCGGTGTCGTAAGTGCACTTGGAAGGGTATCCATGAGCACAGCATGCATGACAGGGTTTAACGCGATCGCACTATGACCATCAAGTATTAGAGCCAAGCGAGCCTGCGTGGAGATCGGGCCCCAGGGGTACATCGGAATCACCACGAATCCCCCGTCGAGTGGCTCCCTCTGGAGCTGGGGGATATTTCCATCCAATAATTTGGCTTCCCGACTAGAATGCAATATGGGGCATCACCAGCAAGAAGAATCGGATCGGGACGCACCTTGACCTTGCGGAACCGGCAGACCTTACAGGACCGCAATTGACGCGCAAGCTGATTTGAGGAGATGACAGGCTTGGGACGGTACTGGCTGGGGACCAGAACAGCCTGCGAGTCGTGGTTGACCATCGCGGTCTAGCACCTATTGGAGTAATGACTCTACTGCTCGGGTGAGGGCAAAGGTCGAGCTTTCGGGGGCAGAGAGCCAACGAACGGTACGGCACGCTTGACACCAACAAGATCTGGACGAACATGTCCGAGATTTGTCCCCTCTCTTTCCCTTTCGCTTACATCGGCACCAGCGCGCCCCGTGGCTCCACGAGACCAATAGCAAGCCGGGCCTGAGGCGATGGCGGGCTGGCAAAGTGGGCTTGGACCGGCTTGGTTTCGGGTGGGCTCACGGTCGGTAGCGTGTTTTGCCACTCTGAATCCGTGGTTTGGTAGGTTTCGAGACTGCGTGGATGGCGGAAAGGTTATCTCGTAGCAATTCGAGGAACCATGGCGTTAGCTTGAGACTAATCTGCATTCCAGAAACACGATTAGCGCAGGAAGATTGCAAGAGACAAGACAGATTGGGTGGATGCAGTGTGTGTGTTGTTGTTGCTTGCCGCTGAGATTGAAGGAATTCTTGGTGGGTTGGCTTGAAAAGGCTAGCGTGACAAGCCAGGCACCAGGCTGGATGCCTCAGGAACTAGTAACTTTCTGTCCCCTCAGCAGATCAACATCAACTAGATGGTTTGGGACAGTCCAACTGTCGACTTTTGAGTGACACTGACACAGTCCAAGTTCATGAGCCTTGGCCGCTCTTTCCACGTCATAAGTATTTGCATAATGATTTAATTTGATCGCGTACCTCAAGAACACACTTTATTCATCAACCGCAAGACCTGGGATATAAATATATCTTTGCCCGCCTCGAACTCGTGCAGAACTCCGAACCATGCCATGACTTATGAGCTTGTTATACCTACCTAGAATGCATGATCCAGCTCAACAACTACGGTTCATCCTTGTCTTCTCATATTAACAAATTTTGCTGTATCTACTTTAGCCAATGAGTTGCAAATCTCCCACCGAACCAGTGGTGATAACTACGATTAGCGGCCTTCTCCTCTGTCGAGCTCCTACCTGATCACAAAAGTCGGGGTATAGTTGCCGTAAGTGGCGCTTGAACAACCGTGATAAGTCTCTCTTCCGGGATTGGTGCATGCTAGTAATAAGTTCAGTTTGACCGCCGCATTCCCCGACCATATCTGCACAGAAACTAACGAGATTCGACCAACAGGCGTGGGTCTTCGCTTTCGACTTCAACTAGACGGCGACTACGTGTTCAGCCACATGGCTGATTTGTTATATCTGCGCCGATCACTCCAAAGCAGGTCCTTCGCATGTATGGGACCACAAGTGCCTACCATGTCCTGCAAAAATACTACCCGCACATCAATAAATCCTCCGAGCGCATGGGTTGCTGGCCTAAACAGAACCCACAGAAAGAACGCCAGCGTGGTATGCTCAGGGGTCTCGCAGTAGTATCGTGGTACGGTTGCAAAGGTGGTTGTCATCTACACAATGAGGGCCGCCAAGCAAGTGAGATGGCTCACTTCTGCTGCATCTGCCGCAGCTACCATCGGTCAAACATCGGAGCATCTTCTGCAAAGCAAGGTCGGAGATGATGCGAACCGAGGCCTCAACAGGGTTGCATGATCGCCTGATGTAGGCAGGATGCGACGATCCAGAGTCACCTTAGCGTGTGCAGCCTGCTCTCAGTGGACGAGGCGATTTTGGCTAAATGGTGGCTTCCCAAGTTTCACCATCATCACGCATGATGGAAAAGACAGGTTATTCCGTGTGCCAAGCAGAGCCTACAAATGGGGATGGGCAGAATAGGGAGGACGCTGTCGGACAGTCTCCGACAGCAAGTACCAAGTGGGGGGGGGGCAAACCCCGTTACCCCAGACAATCCCCCGCAATGAGGAATGAAAGCTTCCCCGCCTCTACTTGGACTAGGCGGGCTTTAAACTCAAACACACCAACCCCCACTCCGTTCTCCCCCCCACACTTTCTACGCTGTGATCATGCTGCTTGCCTCTTCATGAGGGCAATATATAGCTGGCTGGAATCCGATTTCAAGTCGAGCATCTGACAAACTTTCTCTCAACCCATTTCCCCTTGTTCATCGTACAGTGGCCATCGTTTCCCTCAATCATGGCCGAAAAATACATGACCGACCATGAAGCCATGGGCGAAAAGATTGACGTCTCTCACGAGGAGGTCGTCCAGATGGCCCAGTTGACAGAGGGGGAGAAGGTCTTAGAGAAAAAGCTCCGACGACGCATTGACAGCCTGATTATGCCCCTGGTTATCCTCGTCTATCTCATGAACTACATCGATCGGTATGTCAATTGCAGTTTTCATTGTACGAGACCAAGCTAACAGCAGCAGCAACAACTACGCCGCAGCCAAGCTCCAAGGCCTCGAGCAAGACCTCTCCCTCAATGACTCCCAGTACCAGGTCGGCCTGTCGATCCTCTTTGTGGCATACATCCTCATGCAGGTTCCTTCCAACCTGCTCCTCAACTATATGGGCCGCCCATCGATCTATCTGGGCTTTTTCACCACGGCGTGGGGGCTTGTTTCCGCCTTGACCAGCCAAGTGACAAGTTACGGCGGGATCGTCGCCTGCCGCTTTATCCTGGGGTTGGTCGAGGCCCCCTTCTTCGCGGGGATTTTGTTCTACCTGTCCAAATGGTACACAAAGAACGAACTGGCATTCCGGATGAGCATCTTCTACTCGGGCTCGCTGGTCAGTGGCGCCTTCGGCAACCTCATCGCCGCGGGCATCCTCGAGGGCCTTGAGGGCCATCGCGGCCTGGCCGCCTGGCAATGGCTCTACATCATCGAAGGCAGCATCACCGTTGCCATCGGCCTCGCCATCTGCCTCGTCCTGCCGGACTTCCCCGAGACCTGGAAGCTGCTATCCCCAGAGATGAAACACGTTGCGAACCGCCGGCTGGCCATAGAAGCCGCGGAGGCCGACATCGACGAAGGCGGCGGCATGTCGCAACTGAAGGGCCTCAAGCTCGCCTTCACCGACATCAAGACCTACGTCCTCGCCGTCGCCTACATGTGCATTACGGCCGGCGCCGGGTTCCAGTACTACTTCCCCACCTTGGCCGAGACCCTGGGGTACAACAAGATCATCTCGCTGCTGCTGGTCGCGCCCCCTTACATCTTCATGGTCTTCTACAGTCTCTTCCACTCCTACCTGTCCGACCGCTTCGGCAGCCGCTTCTGGTTCTTCATGTACCCGATCCCCGTCACCATGGTCGGGTTCATCATCTTCATGACGACCGAGAGCTTCGGCCCCCGCTACTTCTCCATGTTCTTGATGAACTTTGTCTTCGCGCAGAACGGCACCCTGTACTCGTGGATCGCGAACGCCATCCCCCGTCCGCCGGCCAAGCGCGCTGCCGCGTACGCGTTCATCAACTCGATCGGCAACTCCGCCAGCATCTGGACGGCCTTCACGTATCGCCAGCAGGACGCGCCGTACTACCGGTTGGCGATGGGGGTGTGCGTGGGGATGCAGGCGCTGGGCGGGATTATGGCGGTGTTCATGTACTTCCATCTGCGGTTCTTGAATAAGCGGCTGGCGCGGCTGGAGGATGAGGATGCGGTGTTGACGGACCAGGATCTGGACCGGTTGCAGCGGACGGCCGAGGTGGAGGGGATCGACGTTGCGGCCGCCAGGAGGCTGCAGAAGGGCTTCCGTTATGTGATATGATAGAGTAGTGGATTTCGCTTCGCCCAATCTTATTCTGTGTTTGGAATCCAAACCCTTTTCTTTTGATCTTCGTTGGGCTCATGGTTCTCAGAAAGGCGACCGGGAGTGACGTTGACCTGCCCGTAGAATCGTTCGCATCTGTGGCGCCCAACATCCGGCATTACCGGTATTTAGATGCATCTCGAACACAACCCAACCACAGAACCATCTTGACCACAAAAACAAATCCATCGCCCCCATGTGATGACCTCATTCACGTGGCCAACCCACCGATCCAGCGTATCTCCCAGCGTCGTTCGCCATACCTGAGCATTGGGCGAGGTGCAAGGTCCGTGGTCGTCTTCCCTTAATGTGGATGTGCCGCAAGACCAGATGTTGGGAGGCAGACGATCAGGGCGATAACTGGCGGTGGCGATAAACACGGAGAAGTCTCATCCGCGGTGTAGAAATCTCCAGATTCGCTGCTGAGGCATCCCCGGGGTCGCCACTCTGGCCGCATTTGGCCCGGGCAGACGGTCACATGACTGCACGGGCATTCGAGGGTTGTAGTATATAACTCAGCGTTTCTCAAGGGGTATGCTGTCATCACATAGCAATCAATGTATGCTTGTAACGAATAGAGCAGTTTAACATCCGAGGTTTCTCGATAATCGTGCCGGTATGCAAATGTCAAGACAACTCGTCGTCACATCGCGTCGCCTGCTTCGTACCACACGCGGACCATCGTCTCTGGTGCGGACGTTCTCCATCGCAGTCCCCGCCCGCAAGGAAGGCCAAATGCAAACCTCGAAGCCTCGTGGGTTCTTGGCCGAGTACGTTCAGTACCCGATATTTGTCTCCGCGCCCCCGGATACACTCTCGTTGCGGAAGGAGGGGGGGAGTCTGGAGTGCCCCGGATGACGTCATTCCAAGTGACTCCAATTCATGTGTTCGGGCAAAGCTAACCGCTGCACCCCCGACCACTTAGCCGGGATACTGCTCGCCGTGACCCAGTCCGTGCAGACGAGGAAATACCAGCACATAATACAGCGACGAAATCCCAGCTGCAAGATCAAATACAGCAAAATCGGCAACAACTCGACCGCCTCGAGAGGCAGCTGTAAGTTCCCTGGACAGGTGCGGACCAGGCCTGGAACTGACCAGCCGTGCTAATAAACCCCCCTCAGCCAAGAGTTTAAGCAGGAGGAGGGCGGACGGAGAAGTTTGATGTAAGACTGAAAGCGCGGGTTTGGTTCCTAGTTGCATTGTTGTTCTTCATCCGCTTTGAATGCGGGCACGGAGTCGAGAATGGGGAGTATGTCGGAAAGTAAAGCTAAGACATTGCGTTGCTTCTCGTGACTTGTTTGATTTGTCCATCGAATTTTCAAGGGCTGTTGGCGACACGAGGTCAAGTAAAAGAGCGCAGAACGCCCGAGCCTTCCAGCGATATCTCCGAAAGGTGCTCACGTAGCGGGTTCCTCAACTACTCGGGATCTGTATACATGCTAGACGCACATGTAGAACGGTAAATTAGTTGTGGACTTATTAGCTCATCAATGAAGAGATGTCGGTTGATCACAAGGATGATAGCACTGTCTCACGTTCAAACCTAGCATAACATGATCGCTGGCGTATTCGATCTGACACCTCAACCCATCAGACGAGTCCATCTGACTGAGTGTAGCACCGGCCTGCATCATCGCAACAGGGTCCACAGATTGCGACAGATTGTGCCCTCAGGAACTTTCAGAGTCCTTCCTTATCTGATAAGAATCGCCCAGTCACCTCCTTCCGGCCCGCAAGCCATTCGAAGAGTCGATCAGTGATCCATTGCCGGCGTCGCTCAGCTGCTTACGGATTGCCGTGGGTTTATCGATACCTCGACCCTGAGAGAGCTGCAGTGGAGGGGAAAAGAGCCCCAAAGTGGAGTCGCAAGAGCTCCCACAAGTGGCCAAGCGTAGTGAGACAGGGCCGTGAGTGGAAGTGAGAAGGCTAGAACTCGCTAGAACTCTAAGCCCGCTGGTGCCTGAGTGGTGCCAGACCGAAAGTGGAGAGCTGGGTCGGCATCGGCTTTTACGGGCCTCCGAGTACGAGAAGATGATAAATCCGACGGTGTTGTGAGTCAGAAATGGTTAACTCCGTGAATTCTGCAGTCTGATCTGATGTGTTTTTTTCAAGAGTGATTGGCACGGGGAGACGGGGTTGCAAGCGATCGAGAGATCAAAAATGACTCGTTAGATGGATGGGCACTTTTCTCGTGTAGAAAGAGGCCATGCGTTGTGTCGGTGTAGGACAAAGGCTGCATCGGAGCCCAACAATGCATGGCCATCTCTTGCGACTTGTATTGTGATTATAGACCTGATAGATCGTCACATTACCAAGACGCGCATCATCGTCCTCCAGAATATGTCAAGTCGAATATATCGAAGCCACCAGAGCACTGAGCTCTTGCTATATCGCTGGGCCGTTCAGCCTCTAGATTCGAAGGCTAGATCGATGATCCCGTGGTGACGAGATGTTGAAACACGCGGAAGAATATGGATTTGATTGGCTACTCCGTGAATGGAGGATATTAACATTAAACTCTTTCTGGGAGGGCTTGCGCAGCGCAAACTTTGTTGGTCCCTGGGGCGGATGATTGTTTCCAGCTGGTTCGGAGGCTGCAGAGCAAATATCCGCTGAGTCAGGCGGCTCGTCTCCAGCTCGGACGGGGATCATGCAGCTTATCCGCTTTGTCAGCGGAGATGGCCCGACAAAGGCATCCGGGTTAACGTGTCAGAATTTTTCACGTGGCTCGAATTTCCATCTTCCATCATCCACGGAACTCCACTTCTCTCCTACACAGTACAGTACGGAGTACACACGCAGCGCCATCTCGACCGTCTTGGCTTCGGTCGGGCTGGTTGTTCTTTGCTCACCTTTCCCGATGCTTAGCGATCAATACTGAAACATGTGTCAACATCCACGGAGACTCGGACCTCCGTGCATCCTTGTTTCGAGCCTCCCAAGCTTCCAATATTGACAGCTACCTAAGCCATGAATTCACTGAGCCGTTGGCGATTGGCAATGGGTGGGGGCCCCTCTGACTAAGCGGATATTCGCAGCGAGGCAGAATAGCCGGGTGGACCCCAAAATCTTCCTTCGGAAGCTCGCCCAGGCCCCGATATCCACCGGCCCAGTATCAGACTCAAGGCTCAAAGCCCCCCCCGACCCACTGCCGCCTCTCTCAGTCTGTTGATACTTACCGAGTATATAGGAGCTCTTCGCCCCTCATGGCGCCTAGATCTTCCCTCTTCAGACCCTTTCCATCGGGTGACAACGAGACTTCCATCATTGCTGTCTCGCCCTTCTCACCATGGAGGAAAAGGAAACCTACACGGCATCCCGTGGGATGCTTGAGAGTAGGGACGACACTGATAGTACAGCTACCGTCCTGAACGATGACCCCACCATGCCTACTCGCGACCCCAACATTAGCCGCGCCGATAACTGGTCCTTGATGCCCCAAGTCAAGCAACAGCACGAACGTGATATGCAATCCGGGCTCAGGCCTCGTCAACTCGGTGTCACTTGGAAGGACTTGACCGTCGAAGTCGTCAGTGCCGAAGCCGCCGTTAACGAGAATTTCCTATCGCAGTTCAACATTCCCCAACATATCAAGGAGTCTCGCAACAAGCCGCCTCTCCGCCAGATTCTCCAAAAGAGTCATGGGTGCGTCAAGCCCGGTGAGATGCTTCTGGTTCTGGGCCGCCCTGGTTCCGGCTGCACCACCCTTCTCAAGATGCTCGCCAATCGCCGCCTCGGTTACAACTCGATAGAGGGTGAAGTCCGATACGGCTCACTGACTGCCAAGGAGGCTGGAAATTACCGTGGTCAGATCGTCATCAACACGGAGGAAGAAGTCTTCTTCCCGACCCTGACGGTTGGCCAAACGATGGACTTTGCGACCCGTCTCAAGGTGCCCTTTACCTTGCCGAATGGAGTTGAGTCGGCAGAGGCCTATCGCCAAGAGGCCAAGGAATTCCTGCTGAAATCCATGGGCATCACCCACACAAACGACACTAAGGTTGGCAACGAATACGTTCGAGGTGTTTCCGGTGGTGAACGCAAGCGTGTTTCCATCATCGAATGTCTTGCTACTCGCGGTTCGGTGTTTTGCTGGGATAACAGCACCCGTGGTCTGGACGCCAGTACCGCCCTCGAGTGGACCAAGGCCATTCGCGCTATGACAGACGTGCTTGGTCTCTCTACCATCGTCACTCTCTACCAGGCTGGAAATGGTATCTATGACCTTTTCGACAAAGTACTTGTTCTTGACGAGGGTAAAGAAATTTACTACGGTCCTATGGAACAAGCGCGCCCATTCATGGAGGATCTTGGCTTCGTTTGTCGCGAAGGTTCGAACGTGGCTGATTACTTGACTGGTATCACCGTTCCTACCGAACGTAAGATCCGACCCGGCTATGAAAACCGCTTCCCTCGCAATGCCGAGATGGTTCTTGCCGAGTACGAGAAGTCGCCAATCTATGCTCAGATGAATACTGAGTACAACTACCCCGACACCGATATCGCACGCGAGCGTACCGAGGACTTCAAGATCTCCGTCGCCCAGGAGAAGAGCAAGAAGCTACCCAAGTCTAGCCCTTTGACAGTTGATTTTGTTACTCAAGTCAAGACTTGTATCGCGCGGCAGTATCAGATTCTGTGGGGTGATAAGGCCACCTTTATCATTAAACAGGTCTCTACCTTGATTCAAGCCCTTGTTGCTGGATCATTATTCTATAATGCTCCTAACAACTCTGGTGGTCTCTTCGTCAAGTCAGGTGCCCTATTCTTCTCGCTCCTCTACAACAGTCTGCTTGCTATGGCAGAAGTCACCGACTCCTTCAACGGTCGCCCTGTTTTGGTGAAGCACAAAGGCTTCGCATACTTCCACCCGGCTGCATTTTGCATCGCTCAAATCACAGCCGATATTCCTGTTCTTTTGTTCCAGATCTCAGTCTTCTCTCTCGTTGTGTACTTTATGGTCGGCCTCACCATGTCGGCTGGTGCATTCTTCACATATTGGATCCTGGTTTTCGCTGCCACCATGGTACGTTATCCTGCCCCTAAAAGAGGTCCCGGTCGCTAACTAACAATGATCAGACGATGACTGCATTATTCCGTGCTTGTGGAGCCGTCTTCAGTACTTTCGATGGTGCTTCTAAGGTCTCCGGCTTCCTTATCTCAGCGTTGATTATGTACACCGGTTACATGATCAAAAAGCCCCAGATGCACCCTTGGTTTGGCTGGATCTACTGGATCAATCCTCTGGCTTACGGATTTGACGCACTCCTCTCAAACGAATTTCATGGCAAGGTCATTCCATGTGTAGGCACCAACTTGGTCCCCAGTGGCGCTGGCTACGATGGCAGTGGTCATCAGTCTTGCGCGGGTGTTGGTGGTGCCGTGCCTGGGCAGACCTATGTTACCGGTGATGCGTATCTCGCGTCTATGTCGTACAGCCACAGCCACGTATGGCGAAACTTCGGTATTCTCTGGGCTTGGTGGGCTCTGTTCGCAGTGGCCACCATCGTCGCCACCACCAAATGGAAGGCCCCCGGTGAGAGTGGTGCTTCTCTCCTGATTCCTCGAGAAAGGCTCCATGATCATCACCAAGTCACACGCAACGACGAGGAAGCACAGGCCATGGAGAAGGGCAAAGCACCCAGCGACGAAGGGTCTCAAAGCGAAGAGGATATCGACAAGCAACTGGTGCGAAACACCTCGGTGTTCACCTGGAAGGATTTGAAGTACACTGTCCAGACACCATCTGGTGACCGGGTTCTGCTCGATAACGTTTACGGCTGGGTCAAGCCCGGCATGCTGGGTGCTCTTATGGGTTCCTCTGGTGCTGGTAAGACTACACTTCTTGATGTGTTGGCTCAACGTAAAACCGAGGGTACCATCCAGGGTTCAATTATGGTCGATGGACGCCCGTTGCCTGTATCTTTCCAACGCTCTGCCGGTTACTGTGAACAACTTGATGTCCATGAACCATTTGCCACTGTTCGTGAGGCATTGGAGTTCTCAGCTTTGCTCCGTCAGCCCCGTGAGGTGCCGCCCGAGGAGAAGCTGAGATACGTTACTACTATTATTGAACTTCTTGAGCTCCACGATATTGCCGATACATTGATCGGCCGTGTCGGTGCTGGTTTAAGTGTGGAACAACGCAAGCGTGTCACCATTGGTGTCGAACTTGTCTCAAAGCCTAGTATTCTGATTTTCCTTGACGAACCTACTTCTGGTTTGGATGGTCAGTCAGCTTACAATACTGTTCGTTTCCTGCGGAAGCTTGCCGACGTCGGCCAGGCTGTTTTGGTGACTATTCACCAGCCCTCTGCCCAATTGTTCGCCGAATTCGATACACTATTGCTTTTGGCAAAGGGTGGAAAGATGGTCTACTTTGGTGATATTGGTGAAAACGGTCAGACTGTCAAGAGCTATTTCGCTCGCTATGGTGCCCCATGCCCGCCTGAAACCAACCCCGCTGAGCATATGATTGACGTCGTGTCGGGAGCCTTGTCTCAGGGTCGCGATTGGAACCAGGTCTGGCGAGAATCCCCTGAACACTCAAAGGCCGTCTCCGAGCTTGATGCTATCGTTAGCGATGCCGCCTCGAAACCTCCGGGTACCGTTGATGATGGCCACGAATTTGCTATGCCTCTTTGGAAGCAAATCTTGATTGTCACCAAGCGGTCTTGTGTTGCTGTCTACCGTAATACGGATTATGTCAACAACAAGCTTGCACTCCACGTTGGTTCGGCTTTGTTCAATGGTTTCTCGTTCTGGATGATCAACGATCACGTTGGGGCCGTACAGCTCCGACTGTTCACGATCTTTAACTTCATCTTCGTTGCTCCCGGTGTTATCAACCAACTGCAGCCTCTGTTCCTCGAACGCCGTGATATATACGACGCAAGAGAGAAGAAGTCCAAGATGTATTCATGGATTGCATTTGTGACGGGTTTGATTATTTCTGAAATCCCGTATCTCTGTATTTGTGCAGTGTTGTACTTCGTCTGCTGGTACTACACTGTGGGCTTCCCCTCTGATTCCAACAAGTCCGGGGCTGTTTTCTTTGTGATGTTGATGTACGAGTTTGTCTACACCGGTATCGGGCAGTTCATTTCTGCCTATGCCCCGAACGCCATCTTTGCTTCGTTGATCAACCCTCTTATCATCGGTACTCTCGCATCTTTCTGTGGTGTGTTGGTGCCGTACGCGCAAATCCAGGAATTCTGGCGCTACTGGATCTACTGGATGAATCCCTTCAACTATTTGATGGGCAGTCTGTTGGTGTTCACAACGTGGGACGCCCCTGTCAATTGCAAGGAATCCGAATTCGCGCTGTTCGACCCTCCGAACGGCACAACCTGCAAGGAATATCTCGCCGATTTTATGCAGGGTATGGGCGCCCGCATGAACCTGGTTGATCCCGACGCCACGTCCGGCTGCCGGGTGTGCGAGTACACCAAGGGCAGCGACTATCTTGTCACCATCAACCTCAAGCACTATTACTACGGCTGGCGCGATGCCGCTATCGTGGCGCTGTTCGCCATCAGTTCGTATGCTTTGGTGTATGCTCTGATGAAGCTGCGGACCAAGGCCTCCAAGACGGCCGAGTAAACTGCCTCTGTCGCGTCGCTTTGTAAAATGGCCCACATCGTCATTTCTCCCCTCTTCACTTCCTTTTCTTCATTCACTGATAGCGGCTGCTAGGCAGTCCTGGTCGTCAGTCTCACCCTTTTTTTTTTCTCTCTTTCTGGCTGCATCTACACATACATATTCCCCCAGATAGACTCGTGTTGCATCATTGCCGGAGCGTTTTATTATTTCCCTTCGTTGTATCCACCACAGCGATCCGCGCATCCTGTGCACTACATGGTACATAATTTATTAGACTTGTCATATACATCTTGCTACAGTCCAGTCCTTCTACGGTGATTAACGTGAGTAATAGCTTGAACATTGACAGTAAAGCCAGTAGGAGTACATCGAAGCTCCTCACTTTAAAAAGCATCCACACCGCGAGAGCCACCACCAGCCTTCTCTCGAGAAAGAGAACGCAATCGGGAGCCGTCCACCAGACAGTACGGGATAGACACCGGTCAGATCCTCTCGCACGGGACTATAAATAGCGAGGTAGGGAACAAGAAAAGTGGAGACCAGCTGAAAGGGTAGGACAGGTGGAATCCTGCGAAATCCGTCTGACACCCCGGCGACCAACGCGGGAGAGCCTTGCTGGACAGTAGATCGAGCTGAAGGAGGCGACAGAAACAGCTTGCCCGAAAGCATACACCAAGACCCTGAAGCCTTAAGCTTCGCTGTCAAGCACCAAAAAAAAAAAAAAGCCCGGATGCCTACCAAAACTATGATTCCGAATGAGCATATGCCTCTTTCCCGCGGTTGGCTGGACCCAGCAAAATCTTCCCCCCCCACGAGGCAGTGTCCACAATCGACGTGTCTTGGCAGGTACCGAGCATCCCAACCAACACATGACAGAATTTTCCAGGGTTGTTTTTGCTATCTCTAAGAGGGTATGGGTATGAGTACATACAATATGCTCGGCGATCCGAATGCACAAAAGCAGAGAATAAGGAACTACCAAAAATCGACAGATAAACCCCTTCACCGCGATGCCCACATATAGCTTCCAGCCAGCCACCAACAAAGCCAAGTCCACAAAGGACAATGGACATTCAACAATCACTCTCAGCTGAAAAGATTTTCTGGGATAGTGGACCCGCCGATGTGATCGAGATTCGATAGTTCGCAATCCCCGTCCCGCGCCAAACCCCAATCCGGGCAACGCAAATGAATATCCGCCTCCACTTTTTTCAATATTTAATCTAAATCGGCCCTGACGATCACCTCCCCCCCTCACACTTCCAAGGAAAAATAAGGTCGTGTTTCTGCACGATGTGGGCGGAAGGAATGGATACATCGGCGTCGTGCCTGGGATTGGCATTTCCGAGGGGTGATCGCTGGGTCATCTAGTGTCAGCTGGGGGATGTTGGGTAGACAGATAAAGGAGCGTAGGTCCTCTTGTTCCCTTGACTAGGGCTTTTTTGTGTCTTTTGGTTGGTGTGGGTTTCTCAACTTAAAATCTCGAACAGAAACCGTTCGCTGCTGTTATTCTCTATTACACACAAGAAAGAAACAAGAACACAAGGGACAATGCACATCCCCACCCTCCTAGCCACGGCTGCCGCCAGCTTCGCAGCAACCGCCCTGGGCAGCAGCAGCAGCAGCAGCAGCATCAACGACTTCAGCTGCCGCAGCACCACGCACCCGAACCCGGTGGTCCTGCTGCACGGGCTGGGCGCGACCTTCTACGAGGACCTGAACTACCTGCAGGGCTGGCTGCAGGCGCAGGGGTACTGCACCTTCGCGCAGACCTACGGCGCGTACGCGGGGTTCCCCTTCCTGGGCGGGCTGCGGAGCATCAACGAGTCCGCGGGCGAGATCGCCGCCTACATCCGCGAGGTGCACGCGCAGACGGGCGCCGCCAAGATCGACCTGGTCGGCCACTCCGAGGGTGCCTTCCAGTCGCTGTACGTGCCCAAGTTCGAACCCGGGGTTGCCGACTTGCTGGACAAGGTGGTGGCCATCGCGCCGCCGACGCGCGGCACCACCTTCATCGGCCTGTATAACCTGGCGTATCTGTTCGGGAATGTCTCCCGCGAGGCCGTCGGCGAGGTGCTCGATACGCTGGGCTGTCCCGCGTGCGATGAGCTGGGCCCCGATGGCGCGGCCGTCGAGCGGTTGAACGATGGGGCCCCGATTGTGCAGAACGGGAATAGCTTGACGGTGATTGCGTCTAAGCTCGATGAGATGGTCACGCCGACGAGTACCTCGTTTGTGCACGAGGACGGCGTGCGGAACGAGTGGGTGCAAGATACCTGTCCGCTGGATCCGGTGGGGCATATCGGCGAGGCTTATGATTTGAATGTGTGGAACTTGGTGAAGAATGCGTTGGATGACACGCCGGATCGGAAATTCGTGTGTCTTCTGGGGTCTCCTGGGAAATAGAGTATGGATTGACGAAAAGCAAAGGTTGGATTGGTACAGTCTAGCGGGAATATGTGGCAGTGTATATAATGTATAATTGAAGCACAATCATGGTATACCATTCGAGGTTAAGCATTCTGCGTCTTCTCCTCATCCAAAGATGACGAGTCGGATGAGGTTGAGCTCCCTTTCCCCTGCATCAAATTGTGTCCGTCCCTGAGACAACATTAGCCGCGGTCACGGACCTGAGTGGGTGGACGTACCCAAGCTTCTTGTCTGGGAGCACAAGCGATAAGATTACGACTGGAGCAGAGAATGCCAGGGCCGCGATCGTTATAAGCCTGCCATAGTTAGTGCACATCATGCATGAAGTCAATAAGAGAACAAACCCCATGACGTCAGAATACTGCGCAAGGTTAGCAAGAAGTGTTCGGCGTCTAATAGTAGGCATAGGCAGCACTCACAGCTCGATTGATTGCCACCCGCTCAGGGGATCCCCAAGTCGGCAATGTGCCCGTGATCGAATTGTACAGCTTTTCCACCTCGGCTTGGTTTACATCAGGCCCAAGGTGCAACCGTAGCTGGCGGCGTAATTCTCCCGAGTAGATCCCACCTGCGATGGAAGATCCGACCCCGTTGCCGAGGTAGGCAGCCAGCATGACCAGAGACGTGACCTGGGCCATCTCGGCATGAGAAACGGCGATTTGAGCGGCCACTACAGCCACTGTCTCGATGATGCCACTGCCGATGCCCTGGACGAGCTGCACGATAACAAGCTCTGCAACCGAGCTTTGGTTCGTGCGTAGGCGAACCATCACCCCATATCCGACCATGCGAATCACCGCACCTGCCACGCCGATCCACTTATAGGAGCGCAAGCGATACATGACCAGGCCGGTCGCCATGCCTACCAAAGCTTGCATGACCCCATTGACATAGTACAGGAATTGCGCATCCCGCGCATTGAAATTGTGGGAGACCATTGACCAGACGAACAAGTAGGTATGTGTAGCACCGAAGCTGATGTTGTCGACTGCAACCAGAACCACTGGGATGAGAACGGATAGATTCCAGATGTAGTGGACTGGGACGACAGGATGCCGGGCGACATATTTCTCATATGGGTAGAGGCACGCCAGGATGATCGCGCCCACGGCAATGAGAGCATCCACCCAAGGCGTCTTCCACCTGTCTGCAACGGTAGCAGCCAATGTAATGGGGATCAAGATCAGAGAGAAGCCCCCACTGAGTAAGATCAAGCCGCCCAGGTCGATGCGCGAGCAGAACTCATAGATGCTCAGTTGCTCGGTCAAAACCAGTCCAGCCTTCTTAGCCCGCCACTGAAAGATAAGAAGGGTGGTAATGATGAAGCTAGCACCAAAGGGCATCAGGATGGCAAACATCCCGATTCCCCATCTCCAGCCGATTCCATTGACGACGCTGTCTACTATGAAAGCAGAGACCCACGGGGTGATCAAAAAGGGGACATAAAGAATGTTGTACGCGAAGCCTCTCCATCGCATCGAAGAGAGATCCGACACAATGGTGGCGTTGAGAAAAGAAGTCCCAGCTTGACCAACAGAGTAGAGGACATAGCCGCCAGCGTAGGTATCGAAGGATTGAGAAGAAGCACAAAGGATATAGGACAAAATGTAACACGAGACAGCGAAGATGTATGCCTCTCCACGACCAAGGACATCGGATATCTTCGCGATTGGCGGTTTCGTGACGGCGGAGATAATGCTGGCCGCTGTGTTGAGGGTGGCGAGCTTTGACAGCGCATCAAAGTCCGATGTTGCAAAGTTGCGATAAGTTCCGACGGTCGCGTTGTCCAATTCACTACGGAGTTAGGATAAGATGATGAGCAAACATTTCCCAATGGTGATACATAAGACTTACTAGATGACCATCATCATCGCCAACCTGTTGCCGTCAGCATAAACCTAATCTCTTCACTCCATAGAAGGTATCACATACCCCGCATAAAGCAGATACCTGCCCTTCCTTCCACCCACAGCTTCTGCAGCCTGGATCTTGGCAGCCCCAGTGCTATCCTGCGTGGCTGGGGTGGATTCCACTACCGTGATATCGATATCATCCGTCTTCCAATCCAAGTGTGATGGGGAACCCTGGATCTCCCCGTGGTTTTCAGGGGATCGAAAATACCGGCGCCAACGGGCCATTGTAATGACAGGCTTTATTCGCGGAATCCGCGACCCAAAAATACCATCCGTGAGAAGCGTTCAATCGGGGTCCGAGGAATGGCGGTGGCTCCGGAATGCTGCCCAGCAAGTGCTATGGTTCTGGTCCGTTTGTTCCTAGCCGTCAACCACACATTAGCCAGATCGAGAAGAGTTTTGTGTGAATCGGAAGCTGGTCGACAATAGCAGTAGGAAATGCTGTGCCCGCTACCTGCAGAAGAAAAGCGAAGAGAAAGGAGGATGAATCACCGGATTAGCCGAAGACATCAGCTAATGAATGTGACAGAAGCCCGGTGGGGGAGTCATTGCCAGCAAGGGAGTTGGAGCGGCGTCTCTCCGACCGCGCAGATCCTGGTGAAGATCGACAAGTATGGGATCATGCTGCAAACATCAGCACGTTATCAGATCATTGCCAATTGGAGCCGGATAGCTCGGAGGAACTCTCCATGATGAGGTGGACGATTGAATCCATGTCCATGATTACTGATGGATTACTGATAAGGCAGCCGTTTCGGGCAGTGCGTGCGGGGCAAGCCTTGGATTCACTGCGGAGTATCCGTAGTTGTTACAGAGTAGACAATTTGTCAACTGCATCTACATGATTGAGTGAATGATTGCAACTCCTATCAAGCTTCCTCATCATATTTCAGTTGCTATTCATGGGATCTGCAAGGTGTCCAGGCAGTCAATGTCGACGAGTCTCAATGCTATTACCCAATGAAGAAAGAGGTGGATGAATGTCACCACGTGATCTGGCGCGGGGTCGCGACGCGTTTGCACACAATGCCAGCGCAAGTCTTCTTCCTCCCTGTCTTCTCTAAGCAGTGTTGGGCTATACGGCGATTCTAACATCTTCTGGGCATTGATTCAACTTGCTTAGAGCCACTTTCCTTTGTGGTACGCGACACGTTCTACTCACCATAGTCACCGGCCTGAGTCACGCATCCGAGACCGACGAGGCGATGGAGTTGAAGTTCTACGACTTTGAGTCAACACGAAGAGGGTGAGGAGAGTGGATGCATGCTCTGCTTTGAACTGGTCAATTGACAGAAAGACAAGAGTGGTTAGCTCGCCCTCGTCTGAAGGATCGCCTCCGACATCAGCCCGAATCGCCTGCAGAGCCAGCCCTCCGTTAGCGACTATCATGATCCGACCTGTGATGGCTTGAAATGATGAAAACGTGTCTTTCGGTGGCCACAAGATATTGCAATTCAACAAGCCTAGATATCAGTCGATGGACGTGTCCCCCTCATTTTCGAGACCCCTTCGTCATCGAGCTACCTTGGCAAACGTGCCACGGCGCAGACCGCACGAAGTTCCTCGCCTTCTTTTCATCATAGGAAACACACTGCTGCAGGTGGAGCGACTACTCTTGCTTCAAAACACGAAAGTTTTACGAGGCCGCGAGACATGTCCTGACAGATGTTGCCAATAAATGGGGGGCTCACCTCGACTCAACCTGCGGGAGTTGACATGGCCTCGCTCTCGCACATTCTCGCTATGAAACATCACCAGTAGATAGATCGTTCGCAACACAGGTGAGGGACATCATGGAGCGCTGCAGACAAGGCACCAATCTGTGCGAGACTTTTCCAGACATATGTCGGCGATGGAGCATGAGCCTGTGGCTGTGCCTGATGGAGCTCATTTGGCCTTCGCCAAGAGGGCGATAAAAGTGGAGGTGACCTTGAATGGAGTCAGAACTCATATAACACATCACCGCAAGGGACAGTAATGCGCAGAGTGTAGCAAACCTAGCCAAGAACGTCTAGTAGCGTGACAGCGCACATACATACATCGGATGAATCCCCTAATGTGACCCACCCTCCGGGTGGTTATCGGACAGATAAAGCCGGTCGACCCATTTAACTATTGATTGGCGGGAAGCGCAAATCGACGGCGCAGAGTGGTGGCCTACCTCGATACCAGTACCTAGTAGTATGCACCATCACAAACTGAATGTGAGGGAGCAACCAGCGAATGACTGAGGGGAACTGGCATCCACTTGAGCTGCAATCGACAATAGCGGCCTATGCTCGAGACCCATTTCAACCCAAATCTGACAGCTGATCTCTCCTATTTCTAGCCTCGATTGGAAATCTCTCGCTCTCCATTTGTGGGCCCGCTTTAAAACCTGCAGATGATAGATAGTGGCTTGCTTCGACCCTTAACAGGAAACCGGATGAAGTTTGCACCTCAGCCAGCAGCCTCTCAGCCAACGACCATGTCTACTGCGCATTTATCTAGCGGGACCCTCCTGGCCCGCAAGACATATTCAATAGTGAGGTCGTGGTTGTCTTCAGGTCTTCCAGGCTAGGGCGACCGATGGAACGTCTCAAGACTGCCGGCATCGCAACCCCTCCGGACCAGCGGCTTCTGCCAACGAGGACCAATGTAATTGCACGGTTGCGCATAGCCAACTCTCTATGGGTGGTACTAGTGTGCCTCGCTGGGTATGCATGGTGGATGCCACCTGTGTCGACGCGCAGCAACACATCCATAGAGCCTTCACAATCAGACTTTACGTGGAGTAAGGTACGTGGTTGTGTACATACAAGCTGGTAAGAATCTGACGTTGACCAAAAGTTTAGATCACCCCATCCGCATCGCTGCAGTATCACGATTGCTTCGATGGGTTCCAGTGCGCCCGTGTGGAGGTGCCCATGGATTACCATCGCTCGGATGGTCTCGGCCAGCGCTTTGCGATTGCCATCACTCGACTTCCGGCAAAGGTGCCAGTGACAGACCCACGCTACGGCGGTGCAGTCCTGGTCAACCCGGGTATGCCCTTTTCTCTACTATCCTCGACATAGGGTCTAATCATGGCGAATGCAGGGGGCCCTGGAGGTTCTGGAGTCGCCGAGGTGCTCATTGACGGGAGAAATCTGCAAGCCACTATGGATGCAGAGGCAGATCCCCGTATTGAGCCGCTTGGAGACAGCGTTCGCGATAAATACTACGATGTCATCGGATTTGATCCTCGCGGGGTGAACAATACGACCCCGGGCTTCAGTTGCTTTCCAAACATATTCGCACAAAGGAATTGGGAGTTGCAGGTGGCGGCCGAAGGCATGCTGGGAAGCGCAGACGGCGCGTTTCGTCGCAACTGGGAGCGCTCGGTCGCTCTCAATATGGGATGCTCGATCAACTTGTCCACCCCGTTTGAGGATGGAGAGGAGGCCCTGGGAGAACACATGAACACGCTTCCGGTCGCTCGGGACATGCTGGAGATCATTGAGCGGCATGGAGAGTGGCGTGAGAAACAAGGTGTAGAAGCACAGCGACGGCAGGATCGAATCGACGGCCACGACCAGGACCAGGCAATCGTGGCTCGGACAAAGTGGAAGCGAGGTCGAGAAAAATTGTTGTATTGGGGCCGATCCTACGGGACTGTCTTGGGCGCGACATTCGCCGCACTTTTCCCCGATCGCGTAGAACGTGCTGTGCTGGATGCGGTGGTCGACGCAGACAAATACTATTTTGATGATGGCCTCAGTGCCATTGAGGATGCTGATGCTATCTTCGATCGGTTTGCGCAGTACTGCCACACAGTCGGACCAGAACAATGTCCATTCTATACCTCAGGTGGAGCACCAGCCATCAAGCAAGCGTATCTTGACCTGGAGGATGCATTGTATAATGCGTCACTGCCCGTCATAGCATCTCCTACTCGAGGTCCGGAACTTGTGACTTGGAGCGACCTGAAAAACATCCTGCGCCTGGCCATGTACCAGCCCATACAGGGCTTTCCTCCTCTTGCCCAGTTCGCAAGTGAATTGGCCCGAGGAGATGGGTCGGCGGTGGCGGATATGAAGAGCAGCGCTCGCTCTCCATCGTGTCCTTCTGATCAATGTGTTCAAGCCGGGCCATGGTCGGCAGTCTGCCAGGTGCCGGGTCAGAACGAGGCATATGCCAGCTCGGCGGTGCTGTGTACGGATGCAGTCTACCTGCAGAATGCGGATCAAGATGATTTCCATCGATACTGGAAGGCCCTGAAAGAGGATAGTTCCATGATTGCAGATTACTGGGCTAGTCTGCGCATGGGATGCGTGGGGTGGAATATTTCACCCAAATGGCAACTCAAAGGTACGTCCTCTTGTTGCGTGCACTTTTCACATGGGTCTAATGTCGCATAGCACCCGTAGGAGGCAATACGTCCCATCCATTGCTTTTTGTAAACAACATTCTAGACCCGGTGACACCTTTGCGCAGGTGAGCCCCCCCCCCCCCCCTTGCCTCGTCGCGACTCCTACTAAAGGTGCATAGTGCTCAGAAAATGTCGCAGAAGTTTCCTGGCTCTGTAGTCCTGCAGCAGGACTCGGAAGGAGTAAGTGCGAATCGCAATTCACACATGCAGACGGTGCGTAGAGACTGACAAGCGTAGCATTCTACTTTAGCCGCCCCCTCAATGTGTGTCGACCAGGCAATTCGAAAGTATTTCCAAACGGGGGAGCTGCCACTGACTGATACGGTCTGCGAGGCCGACCTGAAGCCATTGATTGGCATCCCTACAGTCGAACAGGGGATCAGAAGCAGGAGCCGGAGCGATCAGAAACCGTATGAGATGCTCAAAGCAAAGTCGCGCGGTTTACCGTGGACGCGATTGCCATTATAGCGGATGTGATTGGGAACCGCCGGTGTGGGCCTCGTGCTCCCTTATCATGGATTATGGATTTGATCTCCACCTTCCTATCTCGCAGTGTCAAGGTCTGTTGTATATATCGAAGATAACAGCAATGTCGCACATCTCTAGTTGATATGCCCTTGTGATTACATCCGATTACACCGCCTCCCATGAGGAGTTCTATATCGAATCAGCTTCCCATCTTAGTTTCACAGATACTGCCTCGTTCTAGAGAAATCCGCCAACATTCGCCACGTCAGACCTCAAAGTAGATGATAAGGGAGGATTGATCAACAATGGCCTCGCCCCAAGCGTCCAGTGGAGACGATTCTCCGCACTCGACCCAAGAATGCGACGCGGAGTAGCCTCGGTCGCAGGGCAGGATCGGTTATGCTACCCCGCCTAAGGCGGCAGCAGCACACCATAGGTAGTCAATCCAAAGGCGTGCATGAGGTGTCAATGCATGAGCATATAAACTAGGGTGGCGATCTAACCTACAATTACCAACCTCTGACCCTTCATTGCACAGCGACCACGCAAGCAGTCCACATCCCTTTTTTCATCCACCATCTCAGAGTACAGTACATACACAGTACACCCTCACCATGGCACCTCCCAGCTCAACCGAGACATCGACCACCCACACGTCCCAAGTCACCCTTCAGACCCGCCAGTCCTCCCAAGAGGATGGTATGGAGGCGGCGACAGTGAGGAACCAGACCTCCCAATACCCCAAGCCCCCTGTCTTCGAAGATAAGTACGAGGAGCGAGAGTACCTCAAGGGCCGACTAGCCGCTGCATTCCGCATCTTCGGGAAGAATGGATACGATGAGGGTAATCTTTTGTTGCCTATTCACTTCTACCTCCTCCATCAAGACTGATCTCCTGGCAGGCGTGGCCGGCCACATCACTCTCCGCGACCCTGTCGACCCCACCACCTTCTGGGTGAACCCGTTCGGCGTCGCCTTCTCGCAGATCAAAGCCTCCGACCTCATCCAGGTCAGCCATGAAGGCAAGATCCTCGACGGGGGGCCGGTCCGCCTCCTCAACGCTGCAGCCTTCATGATCCACTCCGCGATCCATGCCGCCCGGCCCGACGTCCTGTGCGCTGCGCACAGCCACAGCATCTACGGGCGATCGTTCTGCGCCCTCGGTCGGCCATTGGACATCATCACGCAGGACTCGTGCGCGTTCTACAACGTATAGAACCCTTGCAACCCGCAGTGTGTCGCAGAAAGTCAAGCTAATCTGGGGGACGATACAGGATCACGTCGTCTACAAGCAATTCAACGGGGTCGTGCTGTCGGAGGACGAGGGACACAACATCGCCAAGGCGCTGGGGAACAAGAAGGCGGCGCTGCTGCAGAACCACGGCCTGTTGACCGTGGGTACGAGCATCGAGGCGACGGTCTTCTGGTTCGTCAGTCTGGAGAAGTGCTGCCATGCGCAGCTGTTGGCCGACGCGGCGGCGGCGGGGCGCGGCGGGGCGACGATCAAGATCGATGATGCCGACGCAGCGTTCACATACAAGACCGTGGGGAGGCCCGGGTCGGGGTATTTCAGTGCGAAGCCGCTGTTCGATGTGATCCATGAGGAGACCGGGGGGAGTTACTTGCTGTAGACCTGGTAGTATACTGTTTGATGTTCATAATTGCGGCTACGTCGGTGGCACACGATACACGGAGATGAATGATTTGGCCCTCAAGGCATTCAATCATATTCAGACGATATCATAATCTCTATACATATATGCATATCATATACTCATCCCCTACTCATCCTCCTCATCCTCACTCAGCACCTCCCCGTTCTCCTCCGCCTCCCTCCTCCGCTGCGCCTGCTTCTCGGCCTTCCGCTCCAACAACCGCCTCAACTTCTTCGACGAATTGAACACCCCATTCGTCGCCGCCCCGCACGCCGCGCAACTCGGATCCTTCCGATACCGCTTCAACGCGCACGCCTCGCAGAAGTAATGCCCACACTTTGTCACTATCGGCTCGCGATACGGGCCCTGACAGATGATGCACGCAAACGGGATCTCCTCCAACTCGGCATCCTCGTCGTCCATGTCTTTGTCCGCAGCTCCGCTTCCTCCTCCTCCTCCGCGCGCCCGATCCGACACCACCGTGCCAACCACCTTCTTCCCCTTCGTGACATTCTCCCACTCCTTGTCCAACTCCCACCCCGCCTTGTAATCCGACCGGTCGTGCAGGAACTTGCAGTTGTCGCCGAACCCACACCACCCCGTCAGCTTGTAGTCCTTGCACACGTCCGGCGCGTAGTCCGTGAACGTGGTCATGCGCACGTTGGTGGGGGCGCGGACGGGCCCCACGGCCTTTTTCGGAGGCGCGTCCGGGTTGCGTCGGATGAAGGTTTGTTGGGTTTGGTGCGCGAGGCCTTTGTAGGTTCCGTCGGGTTCTTGGGGGAGGGAGGGTTGGGGGTGCCGGGTTTTGCCGAGCAGGTTGGCTGCGCTGGTGGTCTCGGTTTCGTCGTACCAGTTGGATTGTTTGGTTGCGTCGTTGGTGTCGGGGAGGAGCGGCGGGGCGGTGGCTGTGGGTGTGGTGACGGGGTCGTTGGGGGTTGTGGTGCTGCGCGCGGCGGAAGAGGCGCTCACGACGCCGGCGTTCTTCTTGCGCCGCTTGACGTTGGTGGTTTCGTCGGAGGAGAATTCGGAGGAGGAGGCGTCGGAGGCCGAGCGCGGCGTCGCGGCGCGTTTCTTGCGAAGGTTCGTTTGGGCTTTGGCGCCGCGTTTCTTGAAGAGTGGTGCTGGTGGCGCTGCGGCTGCAGCTGCAACTGCGGCGCTTGGGTCTTGTGTGTCTGTCATTTTGTGTGTGGGTTCTGGGTGAGGATTGGGAGGTGTGGGTGACGATGCAGTGGAGGCGCAGTGGAGAGGAGTTTCTTATCCGGGGTGAGAGATCCAGGCGGTGGCGCGGCACGTAATGATAGCGAGCTCTCGATGGATGACTCAGGCAGCAATTCTGCTCTTATCGCTAAGCAATCCGGTAGATCTGGAAAGTTCGAGTGGCGAGGTCACCACCCTGACCACTCTCTCAATTTGCTTGTACCTCAGTTCATCTGTTGGTGTTGTGCATAGGTTATCTCATATTCGACAGTTACTCTCTTGTACTATATCTCTCTCTACAAATCTCTTCCTCTAATCCAGCAAATCCCTGCCTAATGTTCTGTTCGATGGCTACAGGCAACCGGAATCGAATAGAAATATACAGAGCCAACGGTGGTGAGCTTTGGGAAATAAGGGAAGTAAGATCAACCAAGCACTATTGACTCGATGCTTGTTACTCGGTGATTATATTCTGACCAGGGCAACGTAGAGAGGATGATGGTAGTCGAGTGTCTCATTTATGCTCAAATTCAACAGAAAGAATGAGTCCATCCTTCACATAAGTCTTCTACCGGCTAGAGGTTGTGGGGCTGTCTTACGTATATCTGTCTCTACAACAATACCCTACTCTCGGGTAGACTATTCTGAATCACATAGAAGTCGAGAAATCAATCGTTCAGGTACAACCTCAATTTACGAGGTATTTGAAGGGACATAGCACGATGAGTTCGCTTGGTAAACAGAGATTTTTCCATCTGTTGATGGCATTTCCTTCAAGACAGAGAAATTCCTGAGAGGAAGGTTGCCTCTTTTAAATCTGTTTCGAACCTCGTGGTGGGTTACCTCTTTCTGCCGAAAACCGACAGCTGCTTTTATCGGCTTGGTGTGTTTGAGGACCGTACCCTGGCAGGCTTTGCGGAAGCTCTGGTCTTCCGCCGGCTAAAAGTTAGGGGCTTACTAGTAGTAGGGCTGAGAAGGATCTGGGAGATGCTGGAGCTTACTGTAAGTTGAAAATTGCAGTTTTGCTCAAAATGATGCCTATAAAGAAGGCCAATCGAGCCATCCAGAAGATGGATGCCGACAAGGCCCGGTACCGCTTTGTGCTTGCCAATGAAAAGCACGGGGAAAGTGGTCAAGACGAGGTTGCTAGTCTCGACTCTCAGACTCGAAGTACAGCACGTGAATAATTCCTGGCTTTCATCGCCCATTGCTCGGACGTTGTTGACGGGTAGAATAGATAGGTCATGTTATATCGGATCAGACACTCTGGAAATATTCTCGCCATGATTGATGACCCTACCTAGTTCATAATGTAATCGGTTGATTGGTTCTTGGCACGAGGAAGCTAGGGAATTTCCCGACATATCTTGAAAGGCATAAATTTGAAAGGTTGCTCGCGACAGAGATTTTGCGGCTTTTCCCATTCCCATCTCAAGAGACCCCGTCGTAGTAAGGGCTTCCAACCTCGGCATCCTTTCATGAAGATGAGCGGTTGGACCCTTTCCTTCTTAGCCTGAAACAGAGCGAGCGCTTTGTTATAGTCTGCTTTAGGATGGGAATAAGAAGCGGTGCTGCTGATTTCACATGCTTGAGCACGAATTTATTGATACTGGATTCGACACATCAACGAACTGGGTGTTCATGGCTGGTGGCGCATCAGAGCCGGGCTACAGATGTTGTCTGGACTGCCTGTGTTTATCCATTTTGCGATAACTGCACGGCCAGATGCCAGTCCAAATGCTCTAGAGCTCCAGACGCACCAATGGATCGATTGCAATGGGGACAATGGTAGCTACCTGCCTGCGAGTGACGGTCATCCTCCACTGACTCGACCTGCTTGGCGACGTCTGATCGCCTGAAATACGATAAAATGGTGCGTTTGCGCAGTGGCTTGATCTGAAACCCCGAGAGTCGTAGTGACAGACCCTGACAAGGCCATAGTTTGGGATCCTTGGTAAAATTCGTCAACAGGGGGTCCGCAGCGGTCATCAGTGAAGTCTCCGAAATCGGCATCGCCGGGGAAATCGCCACCTGTCGTGAGAGCCCCGGACCGAATCGGCCATTCATGTGGTGACACAACGTGAGGGTCGTCGGGCGCAGTTCATACCCCTCGGCCTCGAGTTCGTGAATCCTTCCGAGCAGGTCGACAAGAAAGATGCGGAGCCAGTGACTCGCTCGATCGGCCGGGAGCCTCGGAACAAAGGTCTTGGCCGATAACATTGATTTTGTATGCGTGCGAGATACCACCTCGCTCTCATCGACGCCGCGGATGACATTGTAGACCCATATGCCGGCCTCCGAGCCTAAGATAGACTGCAACTGCGACCGGCTCAGTGACAGCAGGGCAGAGACCTGATCCGTCTGGAATGCCCGCACCAGGTGACGGCCGAGGTCTCGTCCGAGGCCACGAATGTTCTTGACTGGGCATGAAGAGAAGAAACTCGACACGGCTTCGGGCAGCACCACCGATTGACCATTGGGCTTGTTCCGGCCGGCGGCGAGCTTTGCCAGCATTTTGTTCGACGCGATGCCCGCTGAACTGGTATATTTCAGCTGCCGCAGTATGTCTTGCCTCACCTGATTGACAATCCGTGAACCCATGTTGAGCGCAATCTCGTCCCAGTCCCGGGCTGATTCTTCATCACCAGGTTGCCCTGCTCGACTTCCTAAGAGATGCGCGCCATGCCACTCCAGTCCTTTCTTCAACTGGGGGAGCGGGAGATGCGCATCTAAATCGGGACTAGGCGAAACCTGTAGCTCGGGATGCTGAGCCACAAGCTCTTGATACACGAGAGGAGAAAGATCAAGGAAGATCTCGTCAATACTTGCCCGTTCGATTGGGAGCGGAGACGTGGTAAGCGATTCGCGGACCAGTGTCATGGTCCGGCGGGCCTCCAGTCGATACGGATCCAGTGCAGCCTTGTCTGTCTTCATTCTCTGCAGCACGTCTGGCCAATAGCCCCAGGTGGAGGATCCTTCCCGCCAAGTGGCAACATGTTGTAATACTATGTCCGGACATCTGGCCTTGACCTCATCCACGGACATGCCGCGAGTCAGGCCATACTGCCGCGCCGGATAGTTGAGGGCAATGATCGCATTCCACTGTTGCACGGCCAGCGGAACTGTGGGCGGAAGGCCGAGGCGGACGCTCTCACATTGGGCATAGAAGGCATCGTAATCAATTAGGGCAATGACGCGCAGCGGGCTTTTGGGTGAGGCTTGTTGTAACAGTCGGAGATGGCGATAGGTGAAACGAGACTGTCTAGATTGGACCATACTGTACGGGCCAGGCGCTCAAACATCCGGTTGGGCACTTGGGTGTTTCTTGTGGTCTGCAGCCATATAAATTAGTGATCGAAGCGGTGTACAGTCAGGTTGCGGTGGCAAGTGGCGTCACTCGAGTGAGGGTCTCTCTCGCCCTCTAGCTTTCTCCAAGAGCCGCACGATTCCGACTTGGCGCGGCAAGCGCGACCCGCTGCAACCAGCAAGGCGATCCATCGATCGATCGATCGACCAATTGATTCGAATTAATGGTTCCAATCACTACTAGGTAGGGAGAAATTCTAGGTCACTGGTATGTGTACACGAGCACGTCAGAGGTGCCACTGCTGCCTACCAGGCAGTGACAGGGTCCGCTTCGAACACAGAAGCACAGAAGCATAGAAGCACATATAAAGCAACCAGCAGTTCGCCCAGACAGGTATGTCCGGCCGGCCCCAATTCGTGTGGACCAACTGAGAGAATATCATGGCCCCTGTTCTGCGTCGAAAGGCCCAACGAGCCGCAAGAAGCAAGATGAGCCGAAGAAATCCGGCGTTGGTCTCGTCAACAAAGTCACCGGACACATCCTCCCAAACCCTTTCCAAGCCCCAGAAGCGAACATCTCAGAGAAGTGGTGCGAGCGCGCCCATCGAGTTCTTACCAAGCTGCACGGGCCCCGCGATTCCCTCTCTAGGGATGCAATGAATGCCGATGGCATTAATTGCCCCAGCGAGTTTTCTGACGTTTTGCACGGTCTGATCTACGGGGTTCTTTGCCAAGCTATCAACGAGCAGAACGCCATTCGTCAAATTCAGAGCCTGAACAGAACCTGAGGATCCAAGGGTTTCTCGTGACACCCATCTCATAAGTCTGGAGTAGTTGTTGAGTCCGAGAGTCATGGGAGGTGTGCAGCGCTGCTGCTCTAGGCCCTAGATTGTCGACTGAGGCTGCGAATCGTTATCTGCACTCCAGAAGTGAATTAATGAACATCCCGCTTGTTCTCACTTCTAGAACGAAAGGCTCGCGGTATTATGTCTGCCCAGCTCCATCTGAATGATATTGTCTCAGTGGTTTGAGGGTCACGAAGTCCACACTTTGAATCCTACCGAGTTGCAGCATGTAGTTGAATAACCCGCAGATTTGTTTTAACAAGGTGTAGTGTCGTCCCCGGAGTGCATAGGATCAGATCTATCCTGACAACAGAAAGTCCCGGTGAACACTTGTATTGTGTTATATACACCACGAAGCACTAGCGAGTAAGCCGGGCCTCGACTCTAGATCATAATTTCCCAAAAAAACCTTTTTCAACACACAATCCTTGCACATGCATCAGCCGCAAGCACCACCCCACGTCAGCCCAGAGGTTGCTCAAGCTTGGCTAAGAACGAGGTCCCCCTCTGGGGACTCCGCACGAGGCTCAAGCCGGTCTGGGCGATCGTCTTCTTTCGCCGCCAGCTTCGCCTGCCTGTGCAGGATGCGAGGCGGCATCATGGTGCTCGTCTTGGCGATTGCGAGATTGCGCCGCCATCGACTCGCCCAGCGGGCGTCGTCATCGGCCTGCCGGATATTACAGGCCAGGTCGGCGGTGGCGTCCCACTCGGCCTGGGAGATGCCCGTCGTCCCCAGCCACGCGAATCGATTGCCCGTGTAGCGGAGGTCCCAGTCATCGTAGCGCGGCTCCCGGATGGCCTCCAGGTAGTGCAGCGTGCTCCCGGGCCAGGTGGTCGGGGTACGACCGCCGATGGCATGGTTGTTGTGCGAGTTGCGGCAGCGATCGGTCCACACGGTCTTGTGCATCACGGCCGCCACATGCGCCGTGAAGGCCGCGCAGGCCTCGCGCTTCGGGGCCATGCAGTGGATGGGCTCGGTCTGGTAGCGGTCGATGAACGCGCAGATGTAGTCGGCCTGCGCCTCGATGGCGACCAGCGTCGGTCCGTTGAAGACCGGCGTGTAGGGCCCGAGCATGGTGAAGGTGTTGGGGAACTCCGAGATGCCCACGCCCATGTAGCCCCCGATCTCCTGGGCTCACTCGGCTTGCAGGTTGCGTCCCCCGGGGCCCAGGATCGGGTAGCGCGGGATATACGAGGTGTCGAAGCCGGTGGCGCAGAGGATGACATCGCCGCGGTGCGCCGTCCCGTCCTCACTGCAGCAGCCCGTCGCCGAGACGGACGACACCCCGCCGTAGACGATCTCGACGTTGGCCTTCGACAGGGTCTCCAGGTACCGGAAGCCGGACGGTACCACGCGCTTGCAGCCGACGGCAAAGGTGGGAATGAGTCGTCGCTGCATCTCCTCCTTCGGCAGACCTTTCCGCATTACAGACTCCAGGAGCTCGCGACTTTGACGCTGGAGGACGGTGTCCCGGAGATACATGGCTGCCAAGCACCCCCACCCCCCGGATGTTAGTTTGTGTGGTCTAGAGCGAATCCAAGTCATCCGGTTTAGAGCACAAATGCCGGGGGAGAGCGCTTACTGAAGATACTGTTCATCGTGCGCTCATTCTCGAGGCGCAGCCGCTGTACGCTCTCCGTGTGTTCAACGAACCGCGCGATCTGCTCCGGCGAGAACTGTCCTGCCTCGATACTGGTATCGGGCAGCAACCACGTTGGGGAACGGATGAAGATCTTGACCCGGTTGACGATCGGTTGAATGGCCGGTAGAATCTGCACGGCCGAGGAACCCGCGCCGATCAGGTGGACATCCTTCCCCGCCAAGGAGACCGTTCGTCGTAGTCGGCGCTGTGAAGCGTGATCCCCGCGTAATCCTCCCAGCCGGGGATCTGGGGCCAAGCGGGCTGATTCAGGTAGCCCGTCGCGTGCACGAGGATATGGCACCAGTTGTGGAGAACGTGGCCCGAGGCCAGGTCCGTGACCTGGACTTCCCACTTCCCACTCGCCTCGATCCAGCGGGTTTCCACCACCCGATGGGAGGGTTTGATGTACTGCCAGAGATTGTGCCGGGTGGCAAACTCTCGGAAATACTGTCGGATCTCGGCGGAGCCTGCATAGACACTGGACCAGTCGAGTTTCGGCTCGAACGAGTAGGCGTAGTTGTGGGAGGGGACGTCGCACGCGCAGCCTGGATAGCGATTCTCATACCATGTGCCGGAGACATCGGGGTTCTTCTCGTAGATCTGTCTCACTCCACGTTTTAGCACGATCTGGGTCTTGTCGGCTGGCTGGGGCAAGTACAGTACATGTACATGCACATACTGTGAGGGAGAATTGTCTGAAAGATCGCTGGAGCTTGTACGCTAGACAGAGACCCGATGCACCAGCACCCACACAAATAATCTTCACAAAGCGCTCATTGTGACTGGCGTCAGTCTTGCGAGGGTCCATGGTGTAGAACCGGGAGGTGAATGTGTTTACCACCGAGAATTGAGTGACTTTCCAATTCCAGGCTCAAGGGGAGGTAACCTGAACCATTGGGAGTGAGCTGGGGTATTAAAGCCCCCATGCATGTAGTAGCGGACACATCGGAGGAAACAGGGGCCTACCAGAGGGGGGCTATCAGGGGTAAGTACTAGATACAGGATACAGGAGTATGAGTTAGAGTATGTGTTGCATCGTGGGAGCAGTGGGACTTGGTGTTCAAAATATCTGGCTAGCGACTAGTCCTAGTTCTAGTGACTACCTTAGTAAGTATAGTTATACAGTACATAGAAATACCGTCCGAGACACGTAACGTATGCAAGCAAATACAGTACAGTGTACAGCAGGTAGTTACTAGTTGAAAACCAAGTAAGCAACAAAGGAGGAGGCTTGATCCGCCCGCTACTTTAGCTGCGCTTTAGCTGCAAGGCACAGCCCGCCCGATCACTGAGAGACAGACATCTAAGGTTGCAATTGTTCCACTATTCACTGTTCCACTTCCACTGTTCCACTGTTCCGTATAATGCCCGTATAAATATTGCTCCCCTCATCCTCATTCTGAGCCCCTCTCTCCCTCTTCCTCTTCCTCTTCCTCTCCCCTTCCTCTCTTTTCATTGCTTTGCACTTATCCATCATCCAACTCCAACTGTAACTCCAAACTACTACTTCTTCTGTCTCAATCACATCATGGCTCCTCCTCTTGTCCTCCTCACTGGTGCAACTGGCCTGATCGGATTCCGGGTACTTCAAGAACTTCTCCAGAAAACCGACTATACCGTCCGAGTCACCGTGCGCTCCGAGGAAAAGGCCCAAATCATCGTCTCCAATCCCGTTATCCAAAAGCTCAATCCCGGGGACCGGCTGACCTACACCGTCGTCCCGGATATCCTTGCGAAGGATGCATTTGACGCTGCGCTGAACGATGCGACGTACGTGATCCACACGGGGTCGCCAGTGCCGGTGCCCGGCTTCGATCCTCTCGCCCAAATCTGGAAGCCCACCGTCGAGGGCACCTCCAACCTGCTGAAGTCCGCCCTCAAGTTCCCCACCATCAAGCGTGTGCTGGTCACCTCCTCCATCGTCGCCAACATGGCCCCTATGCCCGATCCCTCCATCACCGTCACCGCCACCTCCCGCGTGACCCTGCCGGGAATCCCCGACACCTTCTCCAACGTGTTTGAAGCCTACGTCCTGGGCAAGATCACGGAGCTCAACGAAACAGACGCATTTGTGGAGCAAGAGAAGCCGCCATTTTCGGTGGCCCGCGTGATCCCCGGCTACGTCTACGGGCGCGATGGGTTGGTGCTGAGTGCCGACGCGGCCATCGCCAAGGGCAGCTCCTGTGGCATCCTGCTGCGCAGCGTGACGGGCATCGACTGCCCCGCCCCCATCCACGGCGGGTACGTCCACATCGATGATCTGGCGCAGGTCTATCTGAAGGCCCTGCAGCTGGACCCCGCCGCAGCGGGAGCCGCCCCGCACAGCTTCGGCGCCTGCTCGCTCGTCGATTACTCGGACGCGTGGCGCATCGTGGAAAAGAACTTTCCGGGCGCGGTGGCCGCCGGCCAACTCAAGCAGGCCAACTTGCCTACCCTCCCGATCGCCTACGATTCCAGTGAGACGGAGAGATACCTGGAGGTGCAATTCCGTCCGTTCGAGGATGCGGTCAAGGATGTGGTACAATCTTACTTGGATCAAAGGGAAGCAGAGAAGGTTTAGATTTAGGTACAGGTCGGTGTACAGTACATATATTGCTGCTAGAGGTCCATTGGGTTATGGTATCTCGTACTCCTCGGGGGAGTACTAGACTTTTCTTTCTTTTCTTTTCTTTCCTTTTTTCTTTGCTTGAGGTTGTAACTATAGTACAGTATGCACGTTTCATATTGGACATGTGCAGTACATAATGAGATGGGGTTCTTCGCAGTCACCGATCTTCGGATCTTCACCAGTAAATGGGGTAGGTAGTCAGATGCCGTAAGCAACCATCCACGGCACTTGCTATGGCCAATTCCAAGTTTGCCAGACAGCCCGTGAATCGGCCTCGAATCCCATGCCTGGACAGGATGCAGGTACTGGAAAGGCGGTTCGGAGCAGTTGGGCTGGGCTGGGCTGGGCTGGGCTGGGCTGGGCTGCTGGGTCTATGGGAGACAGTCCGTGTGAGCGGAGGAACTCTCCACTGTGTTCGGTAGCTAGCTGCTCGGTAGACCAGGCAAGCAACATGACTGCTGCACAAATGAGATGGAGGAGCGGCTCAGTTACGGTTCGTCTCAGTGCATTGGCTTGTGTTCCCGTCTGACAAGGCGGATCCATGATCGGGCTTAGTAGAACTCACGCTTGCTCCAATTTATGACCCCGACTGCGAATCGCGCTGAGGGCAGAAATTAGTGCTCGAGTAGGCAGGCGGGGGTTCATTTGGTGTATTGTATTGTATGGTATGGTACGGTGTGGGTACGGTGTGGTATCCGGTACAGAACTCACTGGCAACAGGGAACGTTCCTAGACAAACTAACTAAGCTAAGGGACCTAGCGCTTACTGATTATTCCTACTGTGGGGCAGTCTTCCGATAGCCGCTAACTTACAGCTGCTGTTCACCCCTCCTCCCACTTCCTAATACTCCGTAATATCGGTCAAGGGGTAGCATCCAACATTGACCAGCTGGTCGAACCCGGAAGCATAGTGAATCAGCACTACCACCAGGGGTAAGCTCATCGATTGCTCTAGCCCAACAGATGCAGACGCATAATCAGGCCAGGCACTGCACTTCTGGACTTTAGATGGTATAACCTTTTTACACCAGGATCCGAGTGGTTCGGGAGGAATACTTCGCACAGACAATTGACTCGGGTAAGGTATTGTCCGGTGCATCTGCTCCTGATAAGCACCCACTATGTAAGCACTACTCATCGAATCTAATCCTGATATGGCGACAGCACTCAGCCTCCACGTTACATGCACAATACGCGATAGCTAGTATCCCCGCCCAGGAATTGATTTCTTTCTTTTTTTTTTGGTTTAACCACCAACCAAGGAAGCCCACCGGCGGACCGCTCCGGTACCGCCCCACCAGCCCATACCTAATCTACAAGCCCCGCGCAAGAGGATCAATAGAGATCGAGAGGAATGTCATGGGCTCATTAGAGCCGGTGGTTTGTGCTTCTGACCCGGCCAGAGGGGAGATTGGGGGGGGCCGGGAGGCTGTGACATGTAGAACTGTACAGTGGCTCACTTGCCAGGCCGATTTTGTGCCTTTCTTACGCCAAAAATGTCTTGGAGGGCTGAGCGTGGATGCTTACAAGAGTCATTTGCGAAGGGATTATCACACGGGTTGGGGTGGGTGATGATTTCGTCCGCATCTCCGGTGTAAGCACAATGCGAGCTACCTAGCCCACGTTTCCGGTTGTCCACTCTGTTGTTGATGACTCTGGCTCTTTGAGCCAGGGGGGGGGGGGCATGCGGTGGCATGAAGCATCACGTCCGCCTCGCAAGATTATAATACTCTCTCCGATGGCTTTCCTCCTCTGTCGATTCCCGCGTGGTAACATACGTCTGTATAATTGTCTTCATCACGATCCCGTCCTGATCCAGTTGATCAGGGGCGCTGCCAGTAACGATGACATCCTGGCTCCCCAGCGTCGTACCGGCCACACCCCGACGCCGATTGGCTTTCAGAGCGCTGCGTTGCTGCAAATCACTCGCGCCGGGAAATTGCGCGCTGTGGGAGATTCTGGCCGTGCTGGAGCCGAAGATTGATGGGGCGTACGCCTTGATCAGAACAGAAAGTGAAGGGGCGCAGCCGCAGAAAATAGCTGAAATTGATGAACATACAGTCTAGTTAGAGCGAGACAGATTATCTGATTGGAATGGGGAAGGGACGCGATTACGTACCGACGTAAGCCTCAATCGTGCACCAATTGAGAGAGTCAGCCAGAAGAAGGTAATACTCCTCTTTGGCGGAAGCAAGTCTCCTCACGAAATTGTAGCGAACACAGGCCGCTAGGTTGTAGCATAGATATTAGTCTCATGTGGGTTTCTTGGATGGTAGGATAATACAAACCAGCAATGGACAGAATCCCCAGCCCAAAGATCGCCAGGATGGCCCCCTTCTTACGCCAGGTCACCTGTAAGCCGTAGAGCATTGGAACCGGGAGGAGGTAGATCAGGATGTCTGTCACAATATTCAAGACGCCGTTAACTTCGTAGAATAGTTGCTGTGCGCCTAGGGACATGCAGCGGCTATCTCCTGTTGGGCTCGTCCAGAACAAGGATGGAGGTCTGCAGCTGGCGAGTGACCCGATGAAGCTTGCGAGGGAAAGACCGATATTGAGGAACATAACGAAGAAGACAGCCCAGCGCATGAATCTCCGGGGATCCAGACGTAGGTAGAACCACAGTAAGAACATCTTGACCAGCCCCATGGAAAGCGTGTAGAAGAGGCGTGTCACCCATATGCACTTGCCGGTGGCTAGAGTTAGACAATGCTCGACCTCTTAGTGAAGGAAGACTTCAGGGCTTACCTTTAGCATAGGCACGGTGTCGCTTTCTGTTATGGCAAGCGCATGTTTTCCGATCCCATACCGCGAGCCGGTCATGATTGTGATGGATAATCCAAAGTTGAGTATCTGATGGACTGAGTGTGAGTAGAGATTACTGGTCGTGGGGTCTCATGTCGCTTACCGCCCCGATTATCATCAGAACTGAACATGCTTTTTAGTTTAGTCCCACGAGTTGAGGGTCTTGAAGACTTACTATCGTCCGCTCCCAGGGCGCGCAGCATGAAAGCGCGGGCATAAATGCGCAGCGCGACGACGATGGAGTCAAACACGATGAATCCGATGCCCACGCCAAAAATTGCCGCATGTCGCGTCTTGGAGATATCTTCTGGGAGTGCTGACCTTTGGGCGACATTCATTTTCGACAGGTGGACGAAGTGCCATGAAGCAAAGCACGGCCAGGGGCGTTGGCAGGCTAAGTATGAGTCGCCATGCTGTCTGACCTGCTGTGGCCTGGTCCAGAATGTCTGGCTAACAGCAGAAACAATTTTACATCCTTGTCAATCCATCAGTCAAGGGATTTGATCAGCAAGAGCTTTGAACCTGGCTGGGTGCTTTCAGATTGTGAGTGAAGTTGAGGGCTACAGAGGAAGCCCTAGTAAGCCCTAGGATGCTAGTGTGCAGCGGTCAGAGAAGCTAGGCAGGGTATAAGGCTCTCAGCGAATAATATCAAAATTTGAATCGACGTTAGCTCTGCTGAGATTATTTCATGGGAGCTCCACTTGTAATTTCTTTGCTAGGGTAGCAGTTTGCTATGGTGGGGGACGGCACATCGATTGACCGGTCGGTTTCCACTGTGGGCACAATCACCAGCCAACAACATTCCAAATGATAGGCCTCCATGCAGCAAAACCTTTGTTTGAAGAACGAACCAATCGGATTGGGATCCTTGCACCTGGAATTCATTTTGAAAGGGGAAAATTAGTTGAAACCAGCCTTCAGGGTTTGCCATCAAATGCCATCAAATCCACAGAGCAAGATGGGGAACCTCGGTGCCTGCCGCTGTCAGTGGACGGGAGGCCCCTTACTCTGCGCCTGGGATGGTCAATTTAAAGCAATTTGTGTGGTGAAATGGCATGATATTGTTATCCACCTACTCCACATAGCCCAGGCAAACCACAGGTAGTGATTGGGGCAAAAGATCGATCGGCTAGCGCTTAGTCGGTTGACATTTCCGCGGACCTTGGCTCTGTCTGGCTTCCACGAATAGAGCCAAAGCATTCGGAGTCTGGCCGGTCGTAGGCCATAGCTTCGTGAACATAGACCAGGGTATGATTCAGTAGTTGCTTGGTGGACAGATAAGGGCTCGGGCCTAATGAATCATTGACAGCTCCGATAGCTCGGCAGCCGAGGATGCTGTTTTTAATAAATACTGCCCCTCTTCTCACATGGGCCGAAGAAGGAGCCTGTGGCCGCAGAAGCCTCATTGTCTCGTCGAGAAGAAAGGCACACACAGCAGCGCAATGGCTGAATTGAAGAACGTTGCATTGGTCTTTGGAGCCAGTGGGATCTCTGGCTGGGCCGTCACAAATTGCGCTCTCTCCTACCCCACACCTACCACCTTTTGCAGAGTGATTGGCTTGACAAACAAACCTCTACCTTTGGAGAAAAGTGGATTACCGGATGATCCTCGACTGGAGTTGTACAGCGGCGTGAATCTGCGAGGGACTCTTGACGAGGTAGTTGCCCTATTGCAAGAGAAAGTCCCCAACCTAGAAGCGGTCACCCACGCGTATTATCTTGGTACGTAAGAAGCCTGAAAGGGATTCATCACAATCTCACTTATCACACCAGCCTACTCCAATGCAACTGCATGGTCGATGGATGTGATGGCAATCCGAGATATCAACGTGGAAATGACATATAACGCCGTGCACGCTGTCGACAAGCTGTGCAAGAATCTGCAGTTCTTTGTGCTACAAACTGGAACAAACGTATTTACTATCCAAATAACACTTGGGGGCTTCCGCTGACTTTGCGCAGAACTACGGAGTCTCTGTCTTTCGCTTCCAGGAACACATCGAGATCAACCCTCCCTTGCGCGAGGATAACCCGCGCATTCCTTCGCCCTGGGGCGACGAGATCTTCTACTATGCGCAGGTCGATCTGGTCAAGGAAGCTAACAAGGGAAAGTCCTGGAAATGGTGCGAAGTCCGACCAGATCAGATTGTGGGTGCGTCATTTCTAGTTTTTGAATCCTGACCCACGCTGACACCGCCGATGGGCAGGCCACGTCCCGATCCCGACCAGCATGACTTACGTCGAGCCCCTCGCCCTCTACCTGATGCTATACCGTTACGTGAACGGCCCCGGAGCCACCCCCGTCTATCCCGGCTCCTACGCGAACTACGTCCACTCGCATACCCCCTCGTCGCAGGATATTATCGCCCGCTCAGAGCTCTACCTTTCGCTCGAGAAGCCGGAGCAGGCGCACGGACAGGCCTTCAACACGGCCGACAACGCCACACCCGCACCGTTCTCTATTGTCTGGCCCAAGATGTGCGAGTACTTCGGTGTGACTGCTCAAGCTCCCATTCCCGAGGTCAAGGGCTGGACGGACACCGACAAGTGGTGGATCGCGCACCAGGAAGACTACAAGAAGATGTGTGAAGAGTACGAGCTACGCCCGCGCGAGATCCCCGCAGCGACCTGGATTTTCCTGGCCGCAGGCATGAGCTTCCTGGCTCGCGACCGCGATCTGAGCTTGGATAAGATCCGGAGTGTGGGGTTCACGGAGGAGTACCCGGTCGGGGATGGGTACTTCCGGGTGTTTGATCGACTGGTTCAGGAGAAGATTATTCATAGTAAGGAGGCTTGGTTAAGGTAAACCATGAGGGGACAGGTGTGGAATGAGGTTGACTGCGACTTATACAATGTATATATCTAGGCATAATCCCCGGGAATGGAGTTGGCAGCGCTTGTCTCCCTGAACAGGAATTGGTCATCTTTCCTACTAACTCCCGTCAGTCACTAATATAGCCGTGAACACAGCCAGGTATATATCCTTTTCTTTCGGTTCTAGGAAGCAGACCTGAAGGAACAAGCATGAATAAATGATACAAGCAATTACCCTGAGATCTGAACTCTATGACTAGCCATAAAACACGAAATAACCGTGGAGTGAAATGCTTATGCAGTCTTCGAGGCTTGCAGACTCTCTTGTTTTGAGACTCGGGAGCCCCGGCCGTACTGTATCATCGCGCCCTTGGCAGGTAAAGCCTGAGCTCATTTCCTTCTTTCAACCTCCCTCCCCCCACATCCACCCCCCGCCTTCGCGTGAAACCCGGACTCCCAGGATAAATAGCTTGCGCCTCTCTCCCCCTTCGTTGCTCGTCGCTTATCTTTGTGGTCATGCCTGCTTCTGAGCCGCTAGAACGCCGACAGCTACGGCATGCACTGCGTGCACTAACGAGTCGAATCAAAAACTCTCAAGTCCTCGAATTCTATCAGAACACGGCGAAAGCTTATGACATCGACATTTTGCTCATGGAGTTAGGCCAATCAAAATCCAGGCCTATCTTTTTTATCCCATGTCCTGCCTCCCTACTTCTGACTCCGAGTGATGCCTATGAAGAGGAAGGACGAGAATTCCATGATTTTGATGCATTCCACCCGGACGATAAAAGCCCGATGACCTGTGCATATTGGTTACCAGATTTCGTTCTTGGTTATGCCTACGCTTGCCTTCGCGGTGCCGGGCATGAGGAGCTGTATAAGCTTGGAGAACGATGGTCGGAAGTCAGGTAGGTGCTCAGCAGCTTCTATCAATTCTTACAGCCAATGCTATACTACTTGTGTCTCGCTATTTCTCACCACGCGAGAACAGTATCGACGACACGCCTTTCAAAGGCCTGCATCAATTTCAGTCTCCAGAATGGGTGACTAGATGGGCCATCTAGGTCGCCGAGGGTTCACAAACACGTATCAAAGCCTTTACGTACCACAACATGAACGGGACAGACAACAAGATTCTGCGGGGCGAGGTCATGGTTGTCCTGCGCTTGATGATCGCGCAGTTGAGGCGAGTCCGCTACATCGAGCAGCTGACTGCACCGGTAAAGCTCACTGATACCCTTGGACCATCCTCAGCGGCTGACTCGGTTTCCACAAAGGTCCTGCTATTCTCCTTCATGGGACCCCAACATGCTCGACTGGTCGAGGCATATTTCAACGACCCCGCTAGGAGTGCGTCCGACGCGCTTATTTGACCTTCGCAAGAAGGATTGGAATGTTATAAAGACCTTGGGTCAGTGGTATTATGGGCTGCCCGCTGGCGATGCTACACAATTAGGGAGTTCGGGGTCTCAGTCATCTACGCAAGTGTAGGTCGTTTTCATGCGGGGCGGCAATGTATAGGTAATGGCGTTTGAGCGTTGAATCCTTCAGGATGGTTTCTGTGTATTGCGGGGGTGTTCGGCCTACTTCACTAGTTCTGGATGATTGAATGTCTATATTCCTGGGAATAGCTCTGACCTTCTCTTCCGCTGTCCCACGATCTGGTAATCCATATTTGACCTGATCTATCAAACTTCGTTGAGGCATCCGGTGTCAAGTGGAGATCCTCGCCCGAGACTTTATTTACAAGAAACTGACATCATTGGGCATAGTGGCGAGCGCAAGGAGGCGCTAGTCAACTATACGTAGGCGGGACTTATGTGCATACCCGAATGAATAACATGACAGAACCCGCAGTTACCCCACCCCAACCGCAGGCTGAACCCAAAACATCAGGCCAGCAATGTGGGATGTCTGGTATCAAATTCAGTCTCCACTTGCTTTGGTAGACAATGCAAGGGTTTGAAAGGCCTTTCTCATCATATCATCATGCCCTTCAAATTCATTCGGTTCTTCGCAAAATCCGGAGCTCCTCGGAACGTCAGTTCCCCCCGATCGGCCCAATCTTATCTTCTCTGATTGAGAACAGGACCCACCTGGGCCACCACACGAAGATGATATCAGGACCAATCTCACTATTGTACATACCTCACCGGAGCCAGAGATTGAGTACGTTGATTCTCAAACCACCTTCATGCTCATATCTCTGACTAATCGATACTAGCCTTGTCGCCGTGCATGGATGGAAGGGTCACCCGCAAGACTCCTGGACAAGTGCGTCTGGCGTCAATTGGCTGAGGGACGTGCTTCCTCGAGACATGCCAAATATCAATGTATATTCCTGGGGATATAGCTTCCCGGACTCGAGCTGTGCTGGCAGAGAACCGTCGACGCATGTACTATCACAGAAACTCGTCAGTGACCTGTGGCAACACAGAGAGGACTCAAAGGTAACCGATAATCAATTTGTGGCTACTGTGTTGAAAGCTTATCCCCAGCGGAGCATAGACTCATGAACGTCCACTCATATTCATTGCACATAGCGCAGGAGGCTCGATTGTGAAGAGTGTATGTCTGCCCCTGTATCCCCTAAGACGGCCAAAATAGTTTACAACCACTTTCTCGGCAGGCATTGCTCTACTCCGGCTCCCACCCCGATGAAAGATTTCATGAAGTTAAGAGGTCCACATGCGGAGTCCTCTATATGGGTACCCCAGAGATGGATGCCAGACTCGAGGGCTTGGAGAGCTACTTGGCCAATAGTGGCGGGGCTCATGCGGCGGATGATGCTTACTTCAAGGAGGCATCTTGGTTACTTCTTACCTTGCGACAGTATGAAGGAATCAGGCAGGACTTTCGAACAGTCTATGGCCACGAGCAAGGGCCAGATTCTGTACGAACGCATATCGAGGTGATTATGGACCCATGAGTGCTCTAGACAAAAGCGCTGGTTGACAAGACCTCGGTAGGGGACACAGACTGCTAGACATCTATATCTCAACACAACGCATGACGAGATGAACAAGTTTGACTCCGCTTTTGATTCTCGGTACGAGCAGGTCAGAGATGGTTTTGTATGGATTGCACAGGGTATTCGAAAGCATGACTTGCCTTCTTGAAGATAGTTGAGGTAGCGACTTGTATCGAGGTCTAGCAGGACGGGTATCGCTCGAGTAGAACTCGCAGTTGTGATGGGTGTCGAGTGATGACCACGGTTTCGAGATACACTTCGCATGTACTCTGCAGTGGGTGACGGGATGAAGATAAAATCAGAAATGAAACAGCAAAAAGCTCGCACTGTTGGAGGACAACCTCGAACAGTGCTACGAAAACCCTTCTTATCCCCGGGTGTTTTCATACCGTTGAATCCCGGAATGGTAGAGCCAGCGTCTGGAAGTGCCACCGCCGGGATTCGAACGCAGGACCGGGGGCATTTACCTCTACGATCAGCCAGTGTGTTCCCAAGTACGCCACCGGTCCTGCTGGTTACCGAGTCGTCCCCGACGGATAAATATAAACCAGCATTCATTCACTGTTCTGGGAAATTTTCCACGACATAACGCCGAAGTACGCGACTGGCAGTTAACTTACAGGGTTCTACATTTCTACATTTCTACATTCCATCTCCCCGCAGAACACACAGCCACTGCTACTTTATCATCACTCCGATAAACACTTGACCTCCTATATCTCTTGAACATCGTGATAAGATGATTCTGTTCTTTGATCTCCGAGAACAATTCTGTGATACCACTGCTCGCTGCCTGCCTGCCTGCCTTAGTTCCACCGCAAGTTGCTGATTCTCCCTGCGTTGTTTCCCACTTGAAATCCCGAGTTGTTTCCTGAGAAAACCACCGAGTTGGTGTACGTCGTCGTCGAGGTTTGTTGGATCACCTTCACAACGGTCTCAGTCAACAGGTTGTCTTGATCGGCTGCCACTTCTTTCAGGATAGGTAGCGCCCCCTTGATGCTCTTCATCTCCGACACCTCTTCCTCTGCCAGCTTGCGTTGCGCATCCTCGATCCCCGGAAACAACTCGACCAGGTCATTTACCAACTCGTTGATGTCCTCAATCAGTCTCGTGAAATTCTTCTCTTCGTACAATGTCAGCTCCTTAGTGGGCTCTGCATCCGAGTTGCCCTGTCTTCGAAGAGAGAGATCATTCATCTTTTGATGCAGCGATGCGGCGACCTTGTCCAGGTCCTTGTTAGGATCAAGAACAGCGGTCGCATTGCGATGACGCAGCTGGAATCGCTTCGAGATTCTTTCCGCATCAGCAAACTGGTCGAGAATCCCTTCCAACAGCTCAGATACCCGGGGTATGTCGTCAGGTGATAGCTTGGACTCCTCCAGGGAGTGCACATCATTGATATTGGCCAGGCCGACCGACTGTCCCCAGCGCGCCAATCGCAGCCTTACCACCCCGAGCTTCAGCACGCTGGTCTTGAAACTGTCTCCAAAGTTCTCGCCCATCTGGACTGACCCGAAGTAGCCAACCACGCTGCTGAACAGCCGGGATTGCTCGCTCACCATCTCCAGTGTTTCCTTCTGCAACTGCGTCATTGCATCCTGCTTGGACCCGAGATCCTGATTCTGTTCCATGATGGTATTGGTGTTCGACTGGATTGCTTCGGTGCGCTCATCGAGGAGGGTGGCGTTCGCGACAAGGAATTCTATCTGCCCGTTCATGCTCCTGACAACCTCGTCGATGATCTCGACTGTTCTCAGTGTCGCCAGGCCTACGGCTTGGCTTAGCTCGTTGATGGCTTCTTCCATCTCGGTGTTTGCTGCAGTAAGATCTCCATCGGCTCCCTTTACCAGATTCTCAAACCATTTCCCTGACGCGCGAAATTAGCATTAGCCACGCTTCAACAAATCAAAGATTGCTCGAAGAACAAGGCGGAAGCACATACTGAATCTTTTCTCCGCGGCATACTTCTGCGCGACGGCGCAGATTATGAGGATGCTGGAGAAGACGCGTGTGACGCATCGTTGGAATGGAGGTAGAGCTGGAGTTCTCTCCTCGATAATCGAAAGGCGATCGAAGAAGCGATGTGTGAACTCGAAGAACCCCATAATCTTGTCATAGTCTGCAGATGTATCGGCGAATGACTAGGCTCAATTCAGTCAAACGTGCTGATGCAATAGACGTCCTCCTCGCAATGATCGCATACCTGCATGACTTGGCCGAAGGCCGTGAATATCAAACTGGCCGGGACGGCAGGTGGAAATGCCTAAAAGTTGCGAGTCAAAAATGATGCCACATATTGTGAACTGAGCCCAACTCACCGAAACCGCAGTTCCGACCGTCTGGATGGTGTTGACGACCTTCTGGATGATCCACATGTTGTTCTTCAACGCGGTGCGGACTTTGGCCATCTTCGATTTATCATCGCGAAAGTCTTTGAATCTGGTTGCAAGGCCTTCCGTTCCTGTCATCACATCGTTCATACTCCCGAATTGACCCAATTTCAGATTCTTCCCAGTTCTCTTCTCATAGTCCTCCACGGCGCCTTGCCACAACTGGGCAAGGTCGGACGCCTCGGCCGATGCATTGCTTACTGGTTCGATTGCCATCTTCTTCAGGCCTATGTGTGGTAAAGACTCAACAAAAGAAGTGGTCAAGCCCTGGGAAACGAGTACATGGCCACGATGCCCTGTGGTGGGAAGTTCAGACCAGATAAGATCGATCGATCGCACGGACACTGGTTCTTCTCAGTCCACGCACGGCTTCCATCCCAGGTCCTGTGATTTTTCGCGCCCAGGGTGCAATGCTCGGTGCTGCCGTGCTCGGCAATCTATCTCCAGCACAGCCAACGGCGCCATGTCGGACACGCCGGCAAGCTGAGGTTGGCACTTTCTCACAGGGCTTTCCCGTCTCGTCAGCTAGCCACCGTAGCGCCCGCGGCTGGCAGCAACACCAATAGCAGATACCCACGTACGGGATTATCTGCATGGCACCCCTCCGGGTATATCCGATAGCAGGGGGTCATGAATGTTTGTCATGATTCTAGCTGCCGTGGGTCTGTGATACACTTGTCAAACTTTGAGGAACCCCTCCCATGACCCCTCACTTGGACCGTGTGTTGGGGCCATAGGGCCATGTTCGATCCCGGCCTTCCAAGTGGCCCGTCTGACAACTAATCGGCTTGATCGCAGACCTACCACCTTGATTCCTGGCTGATTTGTCACCAGTATACAGGCGAAACTCTATTCTGGGCATCAACTCCGCCGCGAGACTTCATGCCTTACGCCAACTGGGGTTCCGCACCCCCGACTGCGTCTACCCTGCTTACTCGCCCACAGCCTGAACAATTCCAAGGTAACACAACAGCACTGGATGCACGATATCATCATTCCAGAAAGCTTCAAAGCTCGATTTCATCATCTTCATAACATCGCATGATAGCAACTCCACCACTATGCTCTTCCAAAAACGAACCCACTTTGGTTACCAACATTCTGACCCAACTGGTACCCCGAGTTCGTCGATCCCGCAAAGGAGGCGTGAGAGACATTGTTGACTGTAGTGCCTCCATCCTTCTCGGGGGCAGGAACCTTGGCCACCCATTTCTTCAGGACGCGCAGTACTTTGACAAAGTCGCGATCATTCTCATCCTCAAACTGGCTCATCTTCACATGGTTGGCTGCCAGCCGCTCTGCGGGAGGCCCGTCGGGGCACCGCGCCAAGGCCATCTCCACGATCTTGACCCCTTTCCCGTTGAGATCGGTAGAGGATCCCTCGTAGAAACATTGGATATCCATCTCCAGCCCGGCGGCACGGAGCTTAGCGAACTCGCGCGGGATGTCCAGCACCCACTCCGACTTTTCCTCCAAGCCAAACTCACTCGGGGCCTCTTCACCCGCTAGCTCGAAGTACTTGTTTGCTTCACTCAACACTTCCGGGCGGTAATGTGGGGTTCCGAGAAGAAGAAGCCCCTTGACACAGCTGACGAGGCTTTTTCGGTCGTCGTGCTCGGCTCCTCGAACCAGCGCCTATGCTTGTTTGTTAACATTTGGCTCCAGGGGGTGTTTGGGAGGGGGCGGCTGGACCGCACTCCAGGAAGCCTACATTCTCGCAGATCAGCCCTCCAAGGCAATGCGCTACAAGAATCACAGCGCGTTTCTCCTGGTCGTATCATCAGCAGCTGGGAAGGTTAGAGGGGAGGGGCGGGGCAACCTTCTCCGGTTCGGTGCGTTGATCCATAAGCTGGTCCATCAGCTCATTGGAAAGCTCGGTGATGAGGTCTTCCTCGTTCCAGAACGTTTCGAGAGTGACATCGTACTCGAATGAGAACACGCGCGCCTCGGAAACCTTGCTCGCGAAGAGCTTCTCTGGCCAGAACACTGATTTGGCGGCAGAGGTCCAGCCGGGCTGCTCGCCATGCCAGCCGTGGACGAAAACAATGCTTCAGAGTTCCATGATCAGTTTCCCCAACCATGCGACTTCTAGAAATAACCTTGCAATGTCGTACACTTAAGAGGTGTGGTGTAACTTACTCCACGCGGGCGTCGCCGGGGTCCCGGATCACTTTCAGCTCCATTGGTAATGTGCCACCTTCAACAACAGATATATATCAAAATAACGGTCGGATCAGTGGTGATAGTAAATGGGACTATCTCTTTTTGCTGGGGCCGACCGAATTTATGTTCCAGCTCATGATAAGGAGCATCCCGAGAAATTAGGCATCGTCCCTCAGGAGGGACAATCGCAGATCCAGCAGCTGCAACAATCCCAAACGAGGCCCAATCGCGACGATTCGTACTTTGGTCCAATCGAATCGCAATATCCATAACCCACAAACTGAATGGCTGGCGCTAAAAGTCAATATAGACTGCTTGCCTTCCACACCGTTCCGAACGGGTGCCGTTCGTGCGTGTGTTGGAGGGGGGGGGACCTCGGCCATGGACCATCTCCTGCAGCAAGCTAGATGAATTGTACGGAGTACGGAGAGGGAGGGAGGGGGGTGCATCGGGATGAGGTGTGAGCGCTGATCGATGCTGACGGGGAGTGGTTTGTTTGGGTGACTGCAAGCGAGGTGCATATTTGCCCCCTCATTGGATGCAGCTGAAATCTGCACCTATGATCACACCCGCGGCGTGGAGGGCTGAAAGTCTTCTGACAACTGAACCCGACTAGGAGAACGCCGTCCATCCCGGTGGCACCCAATCGAGGCAGTGTTGACCTTTTCAGCAGATGCGGAGATGCAACCCCTGCTTACTGTCAAGCAGAACTTGCTTGCTGCACCGGGTGTGTCCCATGAGATCGGTCTTATTTAACAACGACTTGCGTTCGACCGTGCGTTTGTCCACTTGCGCTTCAGTCCGAAGAATCAAGACTGTGGCAATCTCCGAGGAGATAGTCTAGTACGATGGTTGATACAGTGAGTATTGTGCTTCAGTGCAAGAGGAGGTAGATTGGTGGATGTTCTGGCCCCAATGCTGACACTATAGCTCCAGGCACCACCACCGGCGTCAGCCGCGTTCAACAACTCGACAAACTCTGGACTTCAGCTGGGTCAGAACTATGGCTCGATGGAGGCATCGTTTTACAGTGATGCCATTCAACAGGTTACCATCGCTGCCGGAGCTTCCGTCTACATGGGTAAGATAGGCCTGATCATGAGTTGTGTCTCGCCTTGGGCGCATGCACAAAGCTAACACTTTTTTCGTCGGACTGCAGGCGAGAAGAAGACGGTCGAAGAGAAATTACTCGACGCCCTAGTTGCAGGCGACTCAGGGGACCGACACGACATCGCTCGTGCGTTCCCGGGGACCTGTGAATGGATTTTCGAATGCGCAGCCTTTCGGAGCTGGATCCAAACCGATCCCCCTTTAACCACACCGCTGTACATTCGAGGGATTCCCGGTAGTGGGAAGACTGTACTGCTGAAATATCTCACAAGAGCTATTCAATCCAGTCTGCGCTCGAGCACCAGCCCCCAATCTCCTTCCTTGACCGAGGATGTGATCCTAAGCCCAGAGGTTGGAACGCCTGGGAAGACGATCGCGGTGGCTTGCTTTTGCGATGACAAGAATGAGCACCGCAAGGCGCCCATCTGGGTTCTTAGGACCTTGCTATACAAGCTGCTACAGCAGAACCGTGGTCTGATCAAATACGCACTGCAGCATGTGCAAAATCTTGAAGACTTGCAGGGGTCATCTAACGGCAGCACGATTGAAGTGGACGAGTTTCACTCACGCGATGTTCTACTTCGGATCATCGAAGACATCGTGGCTGATCCCAGTTTGGAGGTGTTGTATTTTGTCATCGACGGGTTAGATCAGTGCGGCCATTTCATCGCCCCAATTCTTCGGATCGTAAATGATTTGTCCACCAGAATCAGCAAGAAGGCAAACGACCTGGGCCGCAAGTTCACCTTTCGGTGCATTATTTCGGACCGAGGTAGTGCTATTGTCTCCGATAAGATGCTTCCCGAGTTTACGGTGGATATGCCAGAGGGGAATCAGGAGGACATCGGGCAAGTCGCCGAGCGCAGGGTTCGCCGCATTCAGGAGTATCGCAAGTTCCCGGATAGGCTTCGCGAAGATATCACCGGCCAATTGAAGGAAAGCTCCAAAGGCATGTTCATGTGGCTGTCGCTGGTTCTCGATGACCTGTCCACCTGGGAGGGTGTCTGGACCGAGGCCCGGGTCAAGGAAAGGCTGCACAACATCCCGTCCGATGTCGAAGCCTTCTACAGCGCAATACTGGAGCGACAGTCGCGGGACGTGGTCGGGCGGTTGCGGACACTGCTCATGTGGATCTACTTCGCCGGTCGCCCATTGACTCTGCGGGAGTTGGATGTGATTCTCACGCTCCAGGAGGGGAAGGAGTACACGGGCGCAAATGCAAGCGAAGAGGATCTCCAGGCTTTGCGGCAGAATATCGAGAACAGCTGGGGCACTCTTTTCGCAGTCCGGAGTGGCGCCGTCTATCTGAGCCATCAATCTGTCAAGGACTTTTTGACCCACGTTTTCAGCGAGGAAGGCGCCAAGGATTATCCCCGGTTCGGGATGAGCAAGTCGGATGCCCATCGACAGATGGCCTCGGCCTGTTTGGCATATCTGCAGTTTGAGGAGATTCAGCGCCATGATGTGCCCAAGCCACCGGTGAATAAGGATTGGAAGATTGATGAAGTCGAGCTTACCAAGACTAGACAGGAATACGTCGCGGGCTATCCCTTCCTCCAATATTCCATCGAGTATCTTGGAGATCACCTCCGCGAAAGCCAAATTCGGGAGGAAAGTGACGTGGTTGGCATGAAGCGATTTTTCGAGGCTGAATCAGTGTCCTTGCAGAACTGGTTGAAGGCCTATGATCTTCTGAAGCGGTGGACGCATGGAAAGTGTAAGTCGTATTGTTCAAGCACTTCGCATCGTCCGCAGCACTAACGTGTTCTACTTTTACAAACAGACTCCGGCTTCTCCACTAGCACCAGCTTGCTCTTTGTGTCCGCTCGACTCAACCTCCCGTGGCTGGCTGATCGCGCCACCTCCTGGAACATGTCCATCTTCTCGCTGCCATCGGCCGTCGCGGCGCCCGACACCTCGGGCTGGAGTGCGATTCACATTGCGGCAGACTCTGAGGCGGTCGAGATGGTCACCTGGCTGCTGCAGAACGGGGCCATCGTCGATGCGACGACCATTGGGCTCCTCCACCCCGGTCGCACGGCGCTGCACTTCGCCGCCGCCGAACGGTCCGACGCGGGCCCCAAGATGGTCAAGGAACTACTCAACGCCGGCGCCCGACCCAACATCTTTACTCGAAGCGGCGGCAACACCGCGCTGCATTACGCCATCGACGGCCGCTCCGTCGAAACGGTCACCACACTCCTGGCCCACTCTGCCGACCCCAACGTCACCAACAGCAGCGGCATCACCCCTCTTCACAAAGCGGCAGGGGTCCCCGGACTAGAAGCCCTCGTCGAAGCCCTCCTCAAAGGCGGCGCAGACCCCAACCGCAAGACAACCGTTGGCATGGGTCTGGCCGCGAAGGGTCTCGCGGCGTGGAAGGCTTCCAAGACCCTCATCGACACCTACCACGCCATCAACACGGCACAGACCGCCCTCCACATTGCTGTGAAAGTCAAGGACGCGGAACGGACCGTCGACGCACTGCTCGCTCACGGCGCCGACGTGAATGCCCGCGACAGCGTCGGTCAGACGCCGCTCCATATCGCCGTCGTCGGCATGGACAGCGAGGTCATGGCGAAGCGGCTGATCGACCACGGGGCGGACGTCAACGCCAAGGACGATGAGCACCGCACCCCGCTGCTCCTGTTCTTGCAGACCGCCGGGGCGATCGCCCATGAGCTGCGCGCCCAGGGCCAAGCGGAGCTCCTTGCGGATCTGGATGGCCAAGCCTCGTGGGAGCGAACGGTGGAGCTGCTGCTAGACGCGGGCGCGGATCCGTCTGCGGAAGGCAAGAACAAGGCGACGCCACTCATGTTCGCGAAGATGGCCTCGATGGGCTGGGCGGTGGAGATCATCGAGCGGCGGCAGAAGAGTGAGGAGAAGGAGCCTGACGTCGAGACGAAAGAGGTCTCAGAGGAGGCTGCTGCTGAGCCGCAGGCGGAGCAGGAAAAGAAGGGTTTTCTCCAGAGTCAGGCGAGTAGGTTTGTGCCAAAGAAGTTTAAGTGGTAGTTCTTGTCTTGTATGTGTTTTGATTATGCCGTGATGGCGGGTGGTTATTGTTCATGGTTGGGTGTAGTATATTTTGTTCCACCGAGAAGGTCTTCCAATGTTAGTCGTGTGATTTTAAGACTCTTTTTCACTTCTCTATCTCCCTGTCTTGCATGCAATTCCGTATCCTTAACCCCACGTACTCAAGTTAGACTCAAGTCCTCTCTAGGTGTGGCCCTCAAGAACTAGCACACGAAAACGAGGCCTGCGCAGGCGTCTCATGGATCGCTTTGCCTGAAACATAGAGCCCCAGCCCACACTACACCCAATGATTAGCTGTATTCCTCGAATTAGACATCCCACACAGCAGAAGAACTTACAATGATCGCCCCGGCGCAAAACATAAACACATTCACTACCGTCAGCGCGAACCTCCCGGGGCTACTGAACCACAACCCCCGATTCAGGTACAGCCAGAAAATCCCCGGAAGTCCATCTAACCCATTGCCCCCCATTCTCAGTCAGCTTTATCCTTCACGCTCCATACACACTTCAGCCGAGAAAGGGGAAGAACAACGTACAAGTAAACCACGTCGCAAACAACGAAGCCTGTCCCACCCACCGGCAGTTAGCATCCCAACCTCCCATTACTTTTTTTGTCGTGGAATGTTCAAAGAAGGGGGCACAAGGGAAGACGCACCACCAGACTCAAAATATTGCTAAAGCTCGGAATCGCCTCGGCAATGACCCAGGCCAGCGCCCACACGCCCAGCGCGATCCCCGCCCACAGCGCGTAGCTCCTCCAGTCGGTCGCGTGCACCCGGTCCGTGCCGCGGAACAAGCGGATGTAGATGTATTTGCAGGCGATGTGGCCGTTTACCACGCCGGAGATGATGATCTTTTTTTTTGGCCCCCAGAAGGGAAAGGATTAGTTATCTGGCTGCTGAGGGCTGGGGTGGGTGGAGATTGGAGGAAATTGATAAATTGTAAAAGGGGACCGGGGGAAACGTACAGTCGGTAAGGCGACCCCATACGCGACCTTGCGGACCACCGGCGAGGCCGATCCCAAGGCCGGAGAGACGACGCCCGGCCCGGCGAAGTAGTAGATGAGGACGGCAACGAGGATGTAGAGCGTTGTGTCGATGGTTTGGAGCAGGTAGAGGGCTTTCGGGTAGTCTTTGGGTTGTTGGAGTTCGGAGATGAAGCTGAAGAAGGCGGCGTGGGCGGCTTTTGGTCTGTTTTAGCTTGGGGTTGGGGGTGGGGGGTTGGAGAATTGGGGGTTGCGATGAGGGGGGGAGAAAAGGAGGATATACCGAATGCGAAAACCATGTTGGTGATGGCTAGGAAGCCTTTGTTGAGGTCGGTGCGGTGCACGGCGGTGGCGTGGTAGTGGTCTTGGTTGATGATGCCGAGGTCGATGGTTACCACGAAGATGGCGGAGAGGATGCTGATGAAGCCTGGGTTTAGGGTTAGATGGTTGTGTCGGGGTGCCAGTGTTGGGGTGTTGAGGGTTGGGGTGGCCACGCACAGATGATGGCCATCAGGGTCATTCCTCGCATAGTGCGCGGTAGTGTGCAGAGCAGCGAGATGACGAAGCCTACAATGCTGAAGGCGATGGAGCAGGTCGCATGCTCCGTCATCGTGTTCATCGCCACCGAGAAGGTCAGCAGATGGCTGCCCATCACGAAGATCAGGAGCAGGATGAGACCCCCTCCTAGCAGCTCCCGGCCGAACGGGCCCCACAGCACCTCCCCTGCGTCGGCCATGCTGTGCACATGCGGATATCGCCATCTGAACTGCCCGATTACGTAGCCTGTGTATGTTGCCATGCCCCCGAGTCCGAGCAGGGCGATGACTGAGCTGGTAGAAAGGGGTAAGGAGCTGCCTTGCTGCTGTGGGGAGAGATGGGGACGACGTACGGAACGATTCCCAGGGCTGCGACGGCGGCTGGCAGCGATAGGATTCCCAGAGATACGGTTTCGGCAATCATGACTATCGTTTGTGAGTATGTGAAAGTTATTGGCCTTCATAGAGGTGTACGACGTACGCATGCCACATTGCCTGAAGAGTTCGTTAGTGGCTTAATCCAAGATGCCATGAGTAGTTGACATACCACCAACTCAAGGTCTTGTACTGCATTTGTCCTTCGACCTCCTCCCCAAACGGGTCCTCCGGGTTGTCATTCTGTAGGTTAGGTTTCTTTGACACGTCTTCCTCCATACTTTGTCGCGCACTCTCCAGTTGCAGGTCGGATCGGACCGACTCATCACGGTGAGACATTTGCGTAACCTGGCTTTCAGATGAGAACCTCTATCAATTGGACTTTCGCAATTCTAGCAGAAGTTCGATGGACGCTGAAGAGGACACACTAGACGCACAATGGCTTCAGGTATCTCAGCTGTCCTTGCTACGGGAGGTCGATATTTAAACTGCAATTCCAGAAAATGACTATCACGTTTCCTGCCACGCTTTGCGTCCCCTTACCCCGCATTTTTCCTCTGAGAAAAAGTGGATCTCCCCGGCCTTGGCTGAGACTGGACGCACCAAAAACACGATCGATCTGCTCCAGACGCATGGCCATAGCCGACGCAAGGCCGGACATGCGGGGATATTCCGCTTCATTTGCGAGAGATCTCTCGTAGGGAGATAACCAAAAGCTCAATATTTGTGGTTCAAGCATAGGACCATTATCTTATTCAGTTATGTGGCAGAGAAAGATCTTAACGAATCTTTACAGGACTGCAATTTTCCATCTGCTGCGGCTGGTTATGCTTTTGGGGCCTCGCAGTCAAGTTTGCTTGAGATTTGCGTGTCACTTTCCACGGAGCAGGAGTTTAGGCATTGGTCTACAGGCGCAAGTCAACCCTTGAAGAAAGTTAATACCTGAGGCAATGAGTCGCTGGTGTTCAGTTGAGGATTACTCATAGCATCTATAACGTTGATAAACGGGGTATATATATTTGTATGCGATTCAATTCCTCTACAGACCCGTGGTACCACGCTATACTTAACAAGGAGAAAAATGTCGAATGATCAGAGCGGTGCTTTCCGTTATTGCGGAAGTACACTACAAGTTCCCATCTCTATCGTTTTCATCAGCGAACCTTTGACTGGTCCATTTGCAGAAAGATATTTCGCGGCCGTTCTGCACCGGATACCCGCGGCTGTTCGTGGCTATTTCATTTTATCAAACTACCCGGATGGCGGATCTGTGCCGGCGATCCCGGCTTCCTGCGTATCCAAGACCGAAATAGCCGGAAAACTATGACGAAGCAATAGTCTTCGAGGGTATTAGTAGCTTGCTCTTACTATAAGCCTTTCTGGAACGCGCTCTCCGAAGAGCAATGTTAAGAACTAGTCTGTTCAGGTATGACACTGCTTGCTTGTTGCAGCAATGCACCAGAAATGAATGGGGGACTCGTGGGACCAGCTGCATGAGTCTTTCATTGCATGTTGATCCCAGCGGTGACTATTTGTGCGTGTATCATGGGGCATTGAAAAGGCTTCTATCTGCAAAGAAAGGTCCAAGGGTTTTCTCGCAAGGCCAGAGTCGAGGCTTTCTTTTAATATGCCATTTAGCGTTACTGGGTGCGCATGATCTGCGGATTGGCAAATTAATTACGTCAGGGGTTGCAGTTGTGGGGTGGATAAGGGCCTCCAGTTCGAGGCGCGACCGGCCGCAAACGGCGGGATGAGAGGGTGAATCCGAGCTTCCCATGGAAAGAGATACGAGTCGACCGCTGATTATCTAGCCCTAAGTTCTGATCGCCCTAGCATAAATCACCCCGGACCACCTAGGCCACTTCAGAAACAAAAATTGAATTCCATTCAAGCAATAGCAAAGTATTATTAGGTGACATTTCCTCTTGATTTTCGCTCATCGCTGCGCCAATTCACTATGACCCCTATCTTCCCCCCTGATCCGTATCCTTCAAGGACTAATGAAGCCTTTGGGGGACGTTTGCTCCCCAAATGCACTGCACTCCGTGGAGCTAGGACAGCAGCAAAAATTCTCCCTGCACCGTTCTCGCAGCAGCTACCATGCTAGGTAGCAAATCTACTTCTGGCAGACGATGTACGACTTGTACTCGTACGGTTTCTGGCGGTCCCAGTGAGTTAGCGATCTCCTTTGCAGACCTTAGTTTGGACATGGCTTACAGGAGCTGGCCAGGCGATGTACTTGCCGCTGTAGCAGTAGAGGTTGTTGCAGTTGGGGAAGGCTTTTGAGAACGCCGCTAAGTCAGAACGTGCGATATTCCATAATGCTGGGTGGGTACCGGGTGAAGTGCGAACTTACGCTGAGTCCCGCAGTTAGTCCCGGCCAGGCCACTGACGACAGCGCCCTTGCAGTAGAAGGTGGCTTGGCCTCGCTTCACGATCTCGAACTCATCGGCACCTCCCTCGGGGCCGTCGATGATCTCGAGGCCGTCCTCGTCGGGGGTCGGGGCGGCGGTGACGAGGTTGAGGGCGGCAAAGACGGCGAGGACGTTCTTCAACTGCATGTTGATTTGAGTCTGAGTGGTCTGAAGGCGATTGGGAAGGTTCTTTTGTTGCTCTGCGATGGTCTGATGTTGATGATGATGAGGAGGAAGAGAGATAGGGTTGTCCAGGATAAATCGGCCATTTTATAGAGAAGATACTGAGGTCTAGACCTCGTCCTTCGTCTTGCAAGGATACGATCTCTGATCTCACGACTTGATGTTTGAAGAAGATCTTGATGAGATTCACGAGCTGAGAAAAACCGTATCGAGGAGAAGAGCGAAGTTCTCGTAAATCATGGCCGTGATAGCGGATACTACAGCCGCTCAGCTGCCCAGCGTCTTGGGCGGGCCGCCTCGTAAACTTGGTACTACACCTGCCGGGATCGCCACATGGGTCTGTCTGGACACAATTTGTTTGGATACCCGGCGCGATGGGTCTGTCGAGCCAAGCCCCAAGATACTCCTGAGCTATATTTCGATAAGGCTCTGCGATTAGGTTTACGTGGTTTACGTGATGTCTGGTACCCCCAGGGTCAATGATCGCGACCAATACGAACCCAGACCCGCGTTCCACCTGAGAGAAAGCAATCTGAGCGTGGGGCTAGCGCCTGTAGTACCTGCTTTGAGCAGAGGGAAGCGAGGGTGAAGCATCCTGCCTTTCACCTCGTCAGTCGTTTTGGGAGACTTTCTGGCTGGCGGGCGGGGTCATAGGTCGTGTTCAGCGTGTCTGCCATACTATCTTACCAGGGCTAAGGTCACCATCTCGCCTCTTCTCTTTGTTATTCTGGTTCTTGGCATGCAATGGACTCTCGTGGAACGATTTGAGACTGGGGTGAGGTAGTGAGATCATCTGTTGCAGCGGATTTACCCGGATCTACGCCGGTCTAGACTAGGCCCCATGGCCTGCTTGACAAGATCTCGATTGAGCCCTAGCCATCGCGCCGCATCTCTAGCGGGCTTGGGAACTAGACCGTCAATGATTTCACGCGCTCGGTGCTGAACTCCACGAATCCGATTGTTGTCTTTTGAATTCAGATATCGCACGGTTACTATTGGGAGGATGAGCTGGAGATAGCAGCAAATAGTGCCGGATGACTACACTGCACCAAAAGTGGGCACGGTGAGAACGCTGGTCGGAAATGAGGCAGTTTGAACCACATTGAACACTTCAAAACACATTAGTATCATAATCGTATGGCTAAATAATCTACGCTAACCAATATATCGACGAAGTATGCATTACCCCTCTCTCAATGGAACCACAACCCCTAAACCAGCAACGCAGCCACCACCATCCCAAGCGCAACCCACCCGCCACCAGTCACCACCCTCGCTCCCCCCGCAGTCACAATCCACGTCGAATCCGACTTCAACGCCCCCGTCGAACCACTGGCCAGCCCACTCTCCGTAGGCGTAGCGCTCGTCTCCGCAGCATGAGCCTCACTCCTATCCTCCTTCTCGTCATTCTTCTCCTGCACATCCTCCACCTCATCCCTCCCACTATCCTCTTCATCATCATCCCCATCCACCACCCGAAACATCGCCGAGTACCTCACCTCCTCCCCACCGTCCACCCCGACTACCGCAAAACGATAATCCTCCGCCAGCGTCAGGTTCCCCGGCAGCACGCACGCCAGACTCCCCGAGTTGGCCACGTGCGTCGCCACCGTCGAGACATTCTTGGCGGTGGTGGACCCCGTCTCCCTCCCCTCCATGAGGTAGACGCTGACGTGCCCGGATCTCTGGTCCTGCGCGACGGGCCACGTCACGATGGTGGTTTTGCCGCGGGCGATGGCCTGGTTCTCGGTTGGGTAGTAGGTTGTTGTTTCTGAGGGGTTGGTGGAGTTTGTTGCTGTGGAGGTGGAGTTGTTGGACGAGGGCTTGGGGGCGGTGATGGTGAAGGCCGGGGACTTGTAGGTTGCTTTTTCTTCTTGGGTGGTGTTTGAGGTAGAAGTGGTGTTGGTGGTGTTGGTATCGTTGTCCGGGGGCGTGGTCGGGTCGAGGACGATGATGTATTCCTCGCCCGGCGGGATGCGGGCGGGCGGGGACCAGGAGATGGACCCCGAGTTGGTGATGTTGGTGGCGATGGTGTAGAGGTTTGTGTGGTTGGTGGTGGTTTCGAGGTGGATGGAGAGTTTGGCTGAGCTGCGTTGCGTGGTGGACCACGAGATCACGCTGGGGGTGTTGGGGGTCAGGATCGCCGAGGCCGCGGGCGAGGTGATTCGGTAGGCGGGCTTTTGGTCCGGGGACGCGGTGGTTAGGGTTGTGAGCGTGGTGAGCGTGGTGAGGAGGGGAAGGATGTGTTTGGGGGGGAGAAACATCTTGGTGTTTGGGGTGATGCAGTACTCGGGAGAGAGGGTGATGGACGTGATCGTCTTTGACTGTTGGCGCTGGAAAGCAACGACGCGGTGGGATTGGTGTGTAGTATTTATCCTCATTCGCGCTGTTTGGACCAGGATGAAGAGGTTCGATGATCCGGGGAAGGCGTGGGTCGTGGAATGTGAAGGCAGTTCAGGGCTAAACTCCCTGAAGATGTTGGTGTCATTCTTGCCGCTGGCTGATTACACTTAGCGTGACTTTTTGGAGGAGGCTGGAGGTATGCGAAGGAACCTTGAACTTCTTATAGACACCTCTTTTACTTCCTTGACAAATCTCGATTGAATCTACTTGCCCTTGAGCGATGTCACACCCTTGATTGGCCTATCGATATTCAGGGGGGCGCGTCGTTGTTCTTCTACGCAGTCCCCGCACCACCACAAGGAATGTTACCAGACTTGAAGTTTCAAGCGCCAACACATGGCATTTGAATGTTGAACATTCAACGGTCAACAAAAATAGCATCTCTCCTGAATGGAGCTACCGTGTTGGATCATTTGTCCAGCTATCCCGGGGCTCAGACCACTATGCCCGATTCCTTCCTCCGGTCAAAGCCCTGTGCGGAGGTAGAACTCCGGCATTCTCGAATGACCGGAACGTCTCAATCCAGGTATCGAACGTCTTGTCGTGTCGCGTCCAACCCATCTTCCTCGCCTTGTTGATGGAAGAGATGGTCAGCCAGGATTTCCCGGTCGCCCAGTTGAAGAAACCCCAGGTGCCCCAGCCAAAAGCCTCCAGCTTGCCTCCATACTTCTGCACGACCCGCTCCCAGACCTCTTGTTTGTCTTTCGCCCATTCCACCATGTCAATCTCATTACTGAGGGTTTTGGCCTGCCCTGACGCTTTTTCGAAGTTCGGCTCCGGTGCCTACAGAATTGTCAGTTTTTCCACCTAGCTTTTCGTTTTCGCAATGGAAGGCAACGCACCTCCACCCCGAAATACTCAGCCACATCCTGCCACATGTGCTTCCAGACAAAGATATCGCCATTGACATGGTTAAACACCTCATCCTTGCAGTGGTCGTGCGTCGACGCCCACACGGTGAGGTCGGCCAGACTCGGGGCGTAGGAGTTATCGTCGATCGAGTTCCAGAAGTACGCGTTGCCCGGAAAGGTGGCCGGCTGACCGAGCTCGCGGCAGATCAGCATGTAGATCGCGACGGTGAGGGCCTCGGACATGCCGTTCGCTGGATGCTTCATTAGCCACCACCCGCTTCCTCTTTTCTCTACCTCAGTAAGTGTATGTGGGAGACCCCTCACCATGCGGAGCATAACCATTAATGGCGTTCGGCCGAATGATGTTATACGACCAGCTCCCGCGCCGGCCCTGCACCTCCCGGAGGTAATCCTCCTGGTTGTAGTAGAAGTTGTACCCCTGGTCCTCGTACCGCGGGAAGGACTCCTCGAGCGGCACTTTGACGGGGCCCAGGTGGACGCCGTAGTACTGCGTTCGCGTTAGCATCCCGGAGGGACTGTCAGCAACGGGAGGGAGAAAAAGATGCGCACCTTGCCGCCGGTCTGCAGACTCACGCGCTGCAGCGCCGGACAGACTGCATCCACTGCATCCAGGAAGTTGCGGAACAGCGGGACGTTCTTGTCCTTGAGGACGCGGAAATCATCGTCGTGCACGTACGAGGTGAAGTATGCGTGCGTGACCGGGGCGCAGATGTCTTGCAGCGCCGCGATGATTTTCTCGACTGGTTGCAGGAAGTCGGCTGCCACGAATTCCACGCGGGGATCGATCCATGGGACTGGGAGGGGACGTCGGGATGAGACGATGATTCGGGACCTGTTTAGGATTGCTTTAGCTTTGATGTAGAGCTGAGAGGAGTGTGTGGTTTTGGCTCGGGGGGGGGGGGGGGTGCACCATTCTTCTTTGGGTTGTCGGATTAGATGCTCGACGATGGCGTAGCCGCTGATGCCGTTGGCGCCGGTTACAAAGGCGACTTTGGGGGGTTGGAAGGTCATAGTGGATTGGTGTTGGTTTGGGGAAGAGGTTTCGTGGAAATGGGTGCTGAGATCTGGCTTTTATGTGTTGAAGTTGACTTGAAACTACCTGGTAGCTTCAGTGGAGCCTTGCTCAGTATCCCGATTTACCCGGATTGTTGTAGTTTATTTTGCGAGAAGAAAGTCGATCCCTGCCATGTTTTGCTTAGGTTGGTCGGTTTGTCCTGCAGGGTCCCGGAATTCACGGAATTCACGGAAATGCTAGGTTGTGAGATTGTTATGAGGATAAGTGGAAGGTAAGATGGGATCGGATTCAAAATAAATTAGAGAGTGCTTAGTATGAGGTGAATTTGTCTGGTACTTGGGTTATTAACGCCAGGAATTGTTAGGAGGTGTTCAGGGTCAGGGTGCTTGTTTGTTGTATCTGGATGATTGCGGTCGGCGGAATTGCCTGCCAAGATATCTAGCGGGCTTGTCATCTGGGTCACGCAAATTGCAGGCCACCTTTGATGCATATACTGAAGCGAATGCAGGCGCTGAATTGTCGATGAAGAATTCCTTCACTTTTCTTCAAAGGGAGAATTAGAGCGATTGTGACTTCCCCATGTAGGAAACAAAGTGAATCCTCCTCATACTCGGCAAGGCACGCATAGTGAGTTTAAGCTTATGTCAGAGAGAGCTCCTCTTTGGGTGAACAAGTGGAGGTAAGTAGAGGTCATATCAGGTACTAACGGTTCTATGTCTTCGTGTGTCTGCTTTGAGGTTGAAGCTTTGCGTTGGGAGATAGAGAGAATAGCTGGCAATATCTTCCAGGTAGACTTGGTGTTCTGAAGCACAATTCGGTGTCATAGATCAATCTTCATTGACTGTAGCTAGAGTTGGGCATCGAACAGCATCCGCCACTAGGCAACATAACATATTCACACAATGCCTGGAAACCAACAATGCATATAACCGGCCAACCCGAGAAATAAGTATAACCTCGATGCTCAGAACAAAGCACTACCCGCCTGCAATCTCTTCTTTGCATCCTCCCTAACCTCCTCCACGATCTCAGCCGCCTTCTGGATCTTCTTGACCAGCCCCACCCCCGACCCAGCCCAGAGGCTCTTCGTATCCCGAAAGGCGCCCTCCGTCTCCCGCAGCCGACCAAGATCCCGCTGCAGCTCCGCCCGAATCACCTCGATCCCAACCCCCTGCTGCTCCATCTCATACCACCGATTCGTCAGACTCCGACCATCGTACATCTGCGGCCAGAAAGTGGGGCCCCAGATCTCATCAAACACCCGCGACCGAGCGGTCGCCTCCCCGCCGTCCGACGCCCGAAACAGCTCCTCGCGGTACTGCGCGGGGACGACCGCCTCCTCCGCGGCCAGGAACCGCGTGCCCATGACCACCCCCGCCGCGCCCAGCACCATCGCAGCCGCGGCGCCGCGGCCGTCCACGATCCCGCCCGCCGCAATCAGCGGGATCTTGCCGACTGGCCGGTCGTCGTCCTCGTCGTCCTCGTCGCTTAACGCAAGCGCCCGCAGTGCATCCGCCACCTCCGGCAGCAGGGTGATCAGACTGGCGCCGCGCGCGTGGCCGTGCCCGCCCGCATCGGAGCCCTGGATGACCAGCGCGTCCGGGCGGCACGCCCGCGCCGCCTCGACCGCCGCCGTGACGCTGCCGATCTGGATCCAGACGTGGGTGTGCGGCGACGCGGTGCGGATCATCGCCGTCCATGCGGCGAAGTCGGCCGGCGCGCCGAAGGACAGCCACACGACCGCGGGCTTGTACTCGGCGACCAGCGCGGTGACTGCCGATGGGGAGGTCACGGCCACGATGATCCCCAGTCCGATCGGCAGGATGTCCGTATTAGGTGGAGGAGGTAGACTTTGTCGCGCGTGCTGCAGGTGGGTTTCGAGTTCGGGGAGGGAGGGCAGGAAGCCGATGTATCCTAGGCCTCCGGCGCGGGTGACGGCGGTCGCGAGCGAGTCGGTGGCGAAGCCGCTCATTGGGGCGTTGATGATGATTGGGGACTGGAGCCAGGGGAAGGCTTGGGCTAGTTTTGCGGTGGACATTTTGGTGGTGGTGGTAGTGTAGTGGTGGTGGGTGGTAGTGGTAGGTGATGGGAAGATGATGTGAGGCTGAAGTCTGTTTTATGGTACTGAGTAGGTGGGGTATGCTAATGCTGAGGTTAGTGCTTATGCTTATGCTCTATAAGTTAGCTACTGGGTAGCTATAGCCAACTCGCTGTGTGACAGTGAGTGGTGAGTGAGTTCCCGGAAATACGGCTGATACCACCACAATTTGTGGGTGGAAAAGCATTCCCCGAGTACCCCGAGATGCCCCGGTCCCGAGCGGTCCCGGCCGGCCCACCAAACGCCGATCTGTCACCGTCTGATTTTGTGCCTCAGGCATCAACACTCTCCTGGTCGCATCTTACACGGCTATCAGACTTCTCATATAGTGGTATTGTGTGAATACTCGGTCTCTGACCTTACTGTTCTGTAAAGCGACCAATCAATACAAGAAGTATCAGGTAGCCTAAGAATCGGACTGGAACGCGGCTCGCAGAACAGGTCAGTCAGCCATTTAAGAAATAAATCGAGATTTATACTGCCGAATGGCACCATCATCTTCTCCGTAGAAAGCCCTCCAAGTCTCCAGGCTAGTTCAACCGCTCCCCGCTCTCATCAAACCGCACCACCTCCCCAGACAACAAAGCATGCTGCAGCGCCTGCCCGATCAGCATGACCTTCATGCCCGCCTCCAGCGGCAGCGGCACCTCGCGATCCTCGCGCACGGCCGCAATGAACTCATTGGCCTCCAGCGCGAACGCATGCTCGAACCGCTCCCAGTACTCCGGCTGGACCTCGTGGCGCATTCCCAGCTTATCCGCCAGCACCACGTTATTCTGCCGCGGCACCACGTTGACCATCAGTTTGCCCTCCGTGCCTGTGATCTCCGTGCAGACGTCGTGGCCGTGGGCCTGCGTCCGCGAGCAGTAGAAGTAGGCGATCTTGCCGCCCCAGAACTCCACCACCCCGACCGCGTTGTCCACGTCGGACAGCTCCCGGAGCTCCGGGTGATGCTGCAGGGTGCCGGCCGCCCAGCACGCCTTGGGGGTCGGGTTCCCCAGGAACCAGAGGGAGAGGTCGATGTCGTGGATAGCGCAGTCGACGAAGATGCCGCCGTTGCGGGCCGCGTACCGCACGAAGAAGCCCGTCTCGTCGCGGAGGTCGCACGTGTTGGAGCGGACCAGGAACGGGGTCCCGATGGCGCCCTGCTCGTAGATCTTGGCGCTGGCGTCGCGGTAAGAGGCGTCGAACCGGCGGGAGAAGCCCGCCATCACCTTCAGCGAGGCCTTGGCTCGGGCGGCGTCGACGACGGATTGCGCCTGATTGCGGTGTTCTGGTTATTCAAGGGATGTGTGAAGGGGAGGGGTAGGTGGGGGGGGGGGGGGGGTATGTTGTACCTCCGCAAGATCGGTGCTGAGTGGCTTTTCGCAGAGGACGTGTAGGTCCTTCGCGATCGCCGCCAGAGATTGGCTGGCGTGGACGTCCGTGCTGCTGGAGATCCAGACTGCTTGTAAGCCCAGGTGCTCCAGCATCTGGTCGTAGTCGTCGTAGACGGTGATGCCGAAATCGGTGTACTCTTGGTTGTTCCGGGCCCACTTGACCTCGCTCGCGTCGGAGCTGCATACCCCCACCACCTGGGCGTGGGGTACACGATACAGCAGTGTGTGGACATGGCGTTTGCCCTGGGCTGGAGTGAGCAGTCGTATCGTTCAGGTGATGGAATCAATTCATACCATGCGACCAAGGCCGACAACTGCAATCTTGAGAGGGTTCTGTGTTCGGGTCATGTTGGGAAGATTTCGAGGGATAGAAGCGGTTAGAGAGTGTGTTGATGACGAAGAAGGACGATACGAACCTCGTGAGAAGACTTGGCTCTCTTTATAGCTTTGATCAGGTACTCTCGAAGTATGAGTTGAATATTGTATAGATTGAAACCAGGGGCGCCGGCACCTGCCGTATCAGGTAATTCTGAGTCCACGCCGGGCGCCGCCGTGTCCCCGGAACTCCGCCGCTACTTGCCCAAACGGGCAATATATTTTCATCGCGGCGTCGGCGCTCGCGCGACTTTACTAAACAAGAGTATCAACTTGCAGGGCTCGGTGTTCGGAAGCAATTACTTGCATCACTGTGCTTAATTTAGACAGTCGTCCAAAGAAAAGCTGAGATGGGATTGGGAGATCATTAAGCTCCTGTTGACAGGCGTTGCACACACCATGATCCTATCCAGATACTATTGCCCTTCTCTTGTGTTGTGGTCGTATCAAAGGCGAATTTATCCTGTAGTGCTTTTTTCTCCGTTGACGAACGGAAGGACATTGAGTATTGCCACACGAGCATCGTTCGAAAAGGTCATGAAAATACTCCCAAGTGAGACCTCCGGATGTGGGGAACTGGAGTGCGGGGTTAAGCTCCCCGCTTTCCCATTGACTGCAAAGAGCAACCGCCGCCGTCGACTCAGTTCCACAACAAATCAAAACTTCATCACATTCACCTACCAACACGATGTCAGTCACAGCCACGGCATCGAATGGTCAGACTCCATGCTTCAACTGTCGAGGTATGTCTTGGCCTCCATATTAATTCAGCCAGGCGCTCTTGCTAATCCAGCGACCAAACCAACCATCCAGAAAAGCACGTGCGCTGTGAGTGATTCACAGGCTAACAAATCTTTCTCAGACCTTTTTACACTAACTCTAATCCTGTGCGAGACTTTAGGTGATAGGCTACGTCCAGTTTGTACGCGATGCAAAAAGAAGGGCTGGACCTGCCAGCCGGTCCAACCCAAGTCGCCGTTTCGGCAGGGATCTACGGCAGGCTTGGACGTCAGCTTTTTGGGAAACCAGGCTTGGGTGAGCAGTGAGCCCAAGCGGTGGAAGCCACCCTTGAGCCAGCAGCAGACCTCCGATGGCGTGTTGGCTCCTCCAGCCCACCTGGTTCGGGATGCTTATGTGGAAAATTACGGGGTTCTGTCGTCCCCGGCGGAGACTAGTGGAGGAGCATGGATACAAACTGCCTCGTCATCGTCGAGCTCTCCTCGTTCACAGTCAACAACTCAGGTTGGGCAAAGTGAAGTGAACAAGGGGCATTTTCTCGCGACGCAAGGGGATACCACGCTGCAACGCTTAAGCTCAGGGCACTTGCAAGAAAGCACGGGATCATCCGACGCGCGTTCGGCCCTGGCTGGCCAGGTTCGCCAAAGAGCCCGTGGATCCGCATCTATATCAAGTCCTTCGAGTGAACTCAAACGCAGGCATAGCGAGGCGTCACCAAGCTATTTCACACACCAAGCATCCCTGCAAGAAGCTTGTCTACTTCGATACTTCATTGAGGAGATTTCGCCCTGGGTATGTTGAGCTCCATTTGCATCGATGATCAACCCCTGACACAGCGCAGTTCGATCATTGCGATCATCTCAGGCACTTTCGATTGGAAGTCCCTCGGCGAGCACGGCACTGCTCGACCCTGCGAAACGCTATTTTTGCTGTGTCGGCACGGCACCTCGTACGCCTTCCCCAGTACAAAACCCCGCGGGGATTCGTGTACCATGGACAATTACTCTCGGGTCTGGAAGATGCCACCGCGGTTGAATACACACTTAAGTGTATACCCGACCTTGTCAAGTTTCCCTACGTATCGGACCCAATCAATCAAGAAAATATTATGGTCGCTGCAGTCATCCTTCGCCAGTATGAGGAGATGGAGGAAGAAATGGACGACGACGGGCCTGCGGAGACTGCCGCCAAGAACCGAGTCAACTTTCTAGCCATCACTCAGACAATTATCGAGTCCATGATGTCACATCGCCTTGAACAGTCGCTGGCGACGGCAGCATACTGGATCGCCATCAGACAGGAGGTATACTACGCGCTGACGAGACAACGTGCACCGATCATGCAGTTCCAACCCCAGGACTGGAGGAGAGCATCGGTCGCAAATAAGTTCATCATGCTCGCTAGCGAGGTCACGAAGTGGTTCTGGGAAGACCGATCAATCGATGAATGGGGTTTGTCTTACTGTCACCTGAAAAAAAAAAAGAAAAAAAAAACCAGAGGAACGAGCATAGCTGATCCGTGTAGAGCGGCTTGTGCGGTGTGAGCGGCAACTGGTGGACGCATGTCGAAGCGAACTCGTGCCTATCCTCGAAAAGCGAGCGGAGAAGCTGCAGGGCAGGATTTTTCCAACCATCTGGTATAGCTCTGAGGATCAGGTAACGGCCAGCCAGCACCTGGAGCTATCTAGAATGATTTTGACTGCCGAGAGTCCGCACCTTGAGTGAGCCTACCCCGTATCACCAACCGCATAGTCGCTTGCTAATATGTATATGTTGACAATACAAGGAACGCAAACCGGGCGGCACATCGCAGGACGGAATCCCTAGTCCGCTCCATGGTTTTGAAGACCTGTGGCATTGCTTTGAATCACATCGATTGCAAACCGGCTCTGGTCAATGGTGTCATTGCTGTGACTTTATACGGGGAGTACTTCACGGAGGCTGAAGAACGAGATGCTTTGGTGACAGAAATCATCCATCGAGCTCAAGAATTAAACGCATGGCCGATGCAAAAGCGGCATGAGCGACTAAAACAGCGATGGCGCTCCATGGACGGATGAATCGAATGCCGCCTTGGTGACCGCCCGCTGGGAAATAGTGTATGTGATGCCTCAGGCCTGCATTCTCTCTCCCAACCACCGACATTGAGTGTGCTGTGCTGCTGTAGCTACAGTACGTCGTCAGTCCGACTTCCCTTCTCTGGGGTGCGCTGCGCTCTCTGAACCACTCGACCCCTTATTCCATGCATTATGAATCTTTTAGCTAATACCCCATCCTATAGGATTGCCGTCTCAAAGTGATGACGAGTCAGAATGGGGATCAGCCTCCCTTCGTCTCAGGGTGATCAAACCATCCAGAGATTGCGAACAGCATTACAAATCCCGGCTGGGGCCGCTTAAGCGTGCCAAAGGGCTGAATCATCACGTTGTGCGCGCTGGCTGGTCGCATGTTACATCCTCAGCTATGATCCCATACCTGAAAGGGAAACGCCCAAGGGGCAGCATGATATCATTTCTTCCTGACGCCCAATTATTTTCCGACATCACCCCGACATCGAATGCATTGGAAGCTTGCTTTTGTCGTGCAAACTATAATTGTCGGTTACTTGATCCTCGCTTTTTCACATTCCAGGCCCAATGTACCCGGATCCCAGCGCCGTCTTACAAAAGCTGAAGCTATGACCCTTTCGACCGGCGCCAGGTCTTCGTGACCACGAGCCATCATCAGGCGACCCACTTGTCTTCGTGGACGCGACGATGCTGATGTGTACAAGCACAAGATCGTGAGTCGCGTGGCGTGTATACGACTCAGTATCGTCTTGATGCACATGCAAAGGAGCTAACTCCTGGTACCCGAGCCAATGGTAGCCGGCAGCCCGGCATCTCAACTTCAAGACTTCAGGTAGCTCAGGGCACTTGGTGCATGGTCGCTGTCCGTCCGTCGGCTACGCTCCGGCACTCTGATGTCTTTTCCGGATCTCTTTAGGCAGCTGGCTCCTAGCGATTATCGATTAGAGGTGAATGTTGATCTGCCTGGCACCAGTGACCACCCCTTTGGCCCAGTGTAAGAGGTATGTATCCCTTGTTTAGGGTTCTTGTGCCGGGCGTTTAAAATCAACCTAGCAAACCAGGTTGATGACCAAGATCTATCAATGATTTCACGATGGGTGAACTGAAGCTTGCAAATTATACTGACCTAGATCGTCTTGCAGCGGAGCATGAGTTGGAGCTGACGCCAGACGGAGCTCACCTGCGATGGGGCAAGACCAACAGGAAGCATCCACGCAACTGGCACCCAGCACGCAAGACCTATGACATAACCGTGATCGGTCTTCTGGAGTTCTTCACGTGAGCATACCTAGTCGACTCCGTGGCATCTGCTAATGGAGGTTTATAGGACTGCGATGAGTACTTCAGGGGTGAGTCACTACATTGCAATGCTCGGGACTGTCTTGGGACCGTCGGCTAACGTGTCAACAGGCCGCAACTGCAAAAGCCGCACAGCTCGAGCTAGGCACCGGAAAGACCTTCACTTTGTTTTTATATGTCTCCACGTGGGTTTGATGCTCTCCACATCTGGCGTCGTGTTGACATGTCTTAGATATCTTCTGGGCCAAGGTCTAGGCGGCGTGGTTTTCCCACCATACTCGGAAACGTTTGGTCGGAAACGGCTCTATGTCTTGAGTGCTCTCTTGTATAGTGTCTTCTGTCTTCTGATCGGCGCCGTTCCCTCAGCCAGCGCTCTGGTGATAGGACGCTTGGTCACTGGATTCTTGTCTGCCATTCCAACCATAGTCATCACGGGGAGCATCGAGGACTTGTTCAATTCACAGGATCGCATATGGGTGATGCTCTTTTATGTTGCCATGGCATGTCTCGGGGTCAGTGCGGGTCCCATCATGAGCTCCTATGTCACTTATCGATACGGATGGTATGTTAGCTCGAAGTCCAGTTCTACCTCTGGTGCCGATCGCTTACGCCCGAAATTACAGGAGATGGGTCTTCAACATCGGAGCAATCGTGACCTGTGTTCTCGCAGCGATGCTCATGTGCATCAAAGAGTCGCGGCCATCATTGATCCTGGCCCGGGAAGTCCAAGCGTTGCGCAAGTTGACCGGGAACGACTCGCTGCTTGCCCTCAACCCGGACTTCATGCCGGACCTTCGCACCTTCGCGCACGTGGGACTCTTCCGACCGTTACGATTGTTCTTCACCGAGCCGATAGTCTTCGTCGTGACCATGGTGTTCTCTGTCTGCGTCGCGCTCATCTATCTATTTGCTGAGGCTCTTCCACCCATCTTCGAGGCCTTCGGCTTCAGCACGGAGGACTCCAGCCTGCCCTTCCTCGCCCTCGGCTTGGGGTTCATCCCCAACATCGCAACCCGCATTCTCGACTACCGCATCACACAGCGACGCCTGAAGGAGGGCCTGAAGGTGAAGCCTGAGCACAAGCTGACGGGCATCTACATCGGCGCCCCCGTCCTCGCCCTGTCGCTGTGGTGGTTCGCCTGGACCATCCCCCCAGTCGGCGCAGCTATCCACTGGTTCGTCCCCGTGGTCGCTCTGTTCTTCACCGGCTATGGCCTCAACGAGATGGAGGTCGTCGTCTCGCAGTACATGGCGGACTCCTATCTCAGCTACGCCGCCAGCGGATTCGCCGCCCTCTCCATCGTTCGGTCTCTGCTTTCTGCCACCTTCCCGCTGTTCGGCAGTGCCATGTTCGACAGGCTGGGCGCGAACATTGGGATGTCGATTTTGGCTGTTGTTGCGACGCTGTTCTGCATCGTGCCGCCGCTTTTGTCGCGCTACGGGGAGCGGATGCGCAAGAAGAGCAACTTTGCCAAGTATAGCTTGCAGGTGTATGCGGAGAACGGGGTGGACTCGGACTTTCGCTAGGACTAATCTTGCTCTGGTGGTGAATGTGACTTGTTTCGCTTGTCGAGACAGCACCAGCAACTTGCATCACCGCCAACATGAATGACTCCTTTTCCCTGTTAGGGGTAAGGCTCGGGTGGCGATAGGACGAGAAACGATCATAACTACGCCTTGGAACTTTTTCTTGATTTCCGATTATGATGACGATAAAAATGGCCTTGTGTATGCACTAGTTGCGATGTCATATAATGCTTGTTGTCTGTGGGTTTAGGTAACGTACAATATACAAAAATCATTGGTCGCAAAGCCAGAGATCATTTCTGTAGCTTCCTCGGCTTTGGCTTCTACTGTTCTACTGTGATACAGTGGGCGTGCGAAGGGCACCTCTCAGTCCCTTGAAAACTTTGTAAAGCCAAACTGTTGTTTTGACATTATCCACATATTCGCACTGAGCAAGATCGATGCCATCAGCCTACCACCTCCACAACCTCATCTCAAAGCCAGCTCTCGTTTATCCCATCACTCCAAGAACAATCACTTGTACCAAGATAGAATAGTTCAAGCCAAGTACCAAAAGTCCAAAGGTCTCATCCCTCAATCCCTACATGGCCTCAGCACAACATGACCCCCCCAGCCGGACAATCGCGCTGCGGCCTCCAGGGCCTCCGTCGCCGACTCGAGGCCAAACTCCTCGACATGGTCCACTCCAATCGCCTCCCCCAGCCGCAGCAGCCCGGACTCAACCATCTGGACTAACCGCAGGACGTGCTGGCGATCATACATGAACCGGCCCTGCAAGCGCAGCGACTTGAACATTACCTCCAAATAGGGCACATTGATCTGCCCCGTCGAGCCCCCCATAATGACACACCGGCCAAACGGCCTCAACGCCCCCACTGCCGCCGCCAGAAGCGACCCATCCGCCGCCGGCGGGGAAAAATCGATATAGACATCGGCGCCGCCGGCCCGGGAGTTCCGCCCCGCCGCCGCCGCCGCCCTCAACGCCTCGGAGCGCCGCTGCACATCCCCCTCATGCTCCATCATCACCGTCCGCAGCCTCCCCGGATGCGTATGCGCATACGTCCTAACCATGGCCGCCAGCACCGCGCGATTCCGCCCTACCGCCACCACCGTCGCCCCCATCGCCAGCGCCACCGCCACCGCCGCCCCACCGTACCGCCCCGTCGCCGGCCCGACGATCACCACCTCCCCGGGCTTGACCTCCACCTCTGCCAGCCCGCCAAACGGCACCAGACACACGGACAACAAACACAGATCGGCAACGGAGTACCCCAGCCCCAGCCCCTGCCCCAGCCCCTGCTGCTGCCCCTGCTGCTGCTGCTGCCGCCACTGCTCCTGCAGCAGCGCCCCCTCGTCCAGCGCGAACAGATTCTCCAGCGGAAACCGCGCGTACTCCGCGTACGTCGCGTGGCGCCACGGCCCGTCCATCAGCCGCTGCGCCGCGGCCGTCCCGCCCCCGTGCACCCCGGCGAGCATCGAGACGGTCGGGTCGTCGCGCGCCCGGATCGTGATGTCGATGAACACCAGCTGGCCCGGCTGCAGGGCGACGGCGTCGTCGCCGGTGGCGTGGATCCGGCCGATCGCGCTGTTGCCCGGGGTCAGCGGGAGGGAGAGTGCGTAGCCTGCCCGCTGTCCGCGGAGGATCTCGGCCATGTAGGGCACGATGGAGGCGGCGAGGATGCGCACGATGGCGGAGCCGGTGGTTGCGCGGGGCAGAGGGAGGGTGGTCAGGGTCAGGGGTTGGTTGTAGGCGTGTAGGGTTAGGGCTCTGTGGGTTTCTGGCTTGGGGCCTTGGGGTTGGAGGGTTGTCATGGTTGGGTTATGTGTTTTGGGGGCTTGGGGTTCGGGGTCTGGAGGGGTTCGGGAGCTGAAGGGGGTTGGGCTTTGTGGGTGGGATTATGGTAGTGGTGCACCATGTTTATATCCTTCTGAAGGGAGAGTTAAGTCCGTTATCTCCGTGTCGACGGGGTATTCGGTCTAGTTGTTTCCGCGGTCATTGGCATTCGGGAGAACTGTTGAGGACGGCTGTTGAGTGTCCCGTCTCCTAGTCAGTGAGGTTTGGGATGTCTCGAGGTCTGATGGTTGGTATCTAGTTCTGGACTGCAGTGGGTCGTCGAGTTCGCCCGCTGCAAGTGCGGATGCGGATGCGGATGCGGGGGGCGGATATAGGCGCGGGCGGGCTTCGTTGGAAGATTTAAGATGCTCTGGCTTGCATTGGTAAGATGATAAGTCTATCTTGTCAGATACCTTACCTTGCCTATCCATGATACGACGTTCCTGCCCCATGGTCAGTATAAGTCACAGGCATTCGGGGAGTACCTGACATGATCCAGACACCAGAGGCAAGGGCAAATTTCCAGCATTCGCAACGTCATTGTACTCGGCGTGAGAGACAACCCTTGCCCACATCTTGTTTCAAACCCTCTACTAGTCCACCACTGACTTTCATCAAATAGGCAACCGGCACAATCGGCCAAGAGATAGTCAAAGCCCTGCTTCCATGGAAGCAGGAAGCCCCGATCTCTTTGTAACAGCTGCCCGACCACGACAACAACAGTCCAAACCTTCCTCAACCCTGCCTCAGGGAGGTAGAAGTGGACTACGAGTCCCCTGCCTCGCTCACGCAGGCTCTCGCCGACCAGCACGCCATCGTCGAAGCCTTCAACCCCAGCGCGACCATCCTCCAGGAGCGCATCGTGCGCGCCGCCCTCGCCGCACCCTCAGTCCAGCGCCTCATCACCCTGGACTTCAGCAGCGATACCTTCCACCCGCACGCCAACGGGTCGACCCTGCGCTGGACGGCGCTCATCACGGGCCCATTGTTCGATTGGGGTATCGCCTAGGCCATCTTCTGGGTGGACCGCACTGCACGAATGGTGACGGTCTTCGGGTCTGTTGCGCAGCGCGTCAGCATCTCCGGGGTTGATATGGTGGGCCGCGCGACGATGACCGTGCTGCGCGACCCCGGGCGTTTTCGCGATCGGCCCGCGTGATTTGCGGATTTCACGGTTAGCTCGAAGGAGTTGGTGGGGATTTTGCAGGGGCCAGTGCAGAAGCAGCAGCAGCAGCAGATGTAGCAGACGCACCAGACGCAGGAGGATAAGGGGGGCGAGGATGATGGTCGCGCGTGGACCGCGAATCCCGCGCGTTGGATAGATGGCTGGAGTTGGCCCGGGGCCTCTGGGATCGGGTTTCCGCGGACGGGGTCCAGGATCGGTCAAAACGCGGGCGTATCAGATGCTGGTTACGTATGGGTTCTTCGAGGAGCGGAATTGGTCCAAAGCGGACTTCAGCGATAGGGTTGAGGCGGGATTTGGGAAGGATAGGGAGAGGTTCTGTAGGAATTTGTTTAGGGCTGTGAATGGAGGACGGTTGGGGTCAGGGTGGTTGCACACTAGGTGCACACAAACGGTTAAGTTGCTGGGTTCGGTCTTTGTGCACACATTACTTCCTCGAATAAATGATTACATCAGCTTGTACCAGATCCAATTGAAGACAGTGTGGGGCTGTGACAGGAGTTGGCCCAATGGTTCTGTAAGTGAAGAATCGGACTGGCAGTCTGGTTGAACCAATCCCAGACTATGCTGATATCATTTCCGGGACGAGCCTTATTGTGTGGGTTCGGTTGTTCGGTTGCAACATGACCTCATCTTGGGTGTTGGGATTCCCATTCTTGATTTGAGGATCAGTGGAGGGTACATATCTTCTGGTTTGGATTTAACCTTGAATTCTCTTATTCTGGTGCTGCATTTAGGTCTTCGAAGCCAGCATCCAGGGAAACTCCTGGTCAAGGGACGTGGAGTAGATAGATTGTGTAACATGTGAATCAACAATTACTCATTTGTCAGAATAGGTGAGGTGTTGTACATATAGCTTAAGTGATGATTCATGACATCACAATGAAGTCTAAGTAGTTAAGCTGTGTAGGAGATCTTGTTGAATGTTGAATGCTATTCACAGCACAGGTTGTTGTCCTAGACCTTTTGTTCTCCGTAACCCCTATGTTCACAATATCTTCGTTGCAATGGCAATTATATTTCGGCTGTTTATGGATGAGTTATGGTCAGACGTGAGCCAATTCGCCCTAAGTGCTGCCTCCCACCCGGCACAATTAATGAATACTGATGAGTGGTAGTTGACGTACGGGGACCTGGCTGCCCTGGCTCGTGTCTCGCGAGAGCTCAATGATCTTGTTAATCCTTACCTCTACCACACGGTTCGCTTCCATAGCCCCGGGCACGTCGATGCCCACGACAAACTTCTGATGAAGCTGGACACGCTTGCCCACCCCGAATTTGACAAGATGGGGCTCATCAAGCGCGTGATCGTGTCCGGGACCTGGTATTCGACGTATGCCTCGATCGACTCCTGGCTGGCGCCGAGGAGAATCCTATCCCCAGCAGCCCGGTTGCTTAGCAGTCTCCTCTGCAGCTGCGTAGTCCGTATGCCGAACTTGGAGGAATTCGTGTAAGCGAGCACGCTCCACCACATGTCTTGAGGGACTCGTCGATAGCCGATGCGAGTGACACACGCCCACAGTTGGGATATGCAGGTCTCCCTCACCCAGTATTTGGTCTCGAATGTCGTCCTGCGGCCGATGCTCCGGAATCTCCAGCTGCGCATGGGCACCGACTGCACCCCCAAGCCCTTCTTCCGACCCCCGCTGAACATGAAGCTCTCGATGAGCCTGACGGTGCTTTCCCTCGTGCAGGTGGACGACGTGGAAGTGATGAGATCGGTGGGAGCGGCGGTGTCGAGCGCGACGAACCTGCGGGAGCTCACGATCTGGGCGGATAATAATTCCGGGATCAGCGTCAGCACCCTATTCGAGAGCTGGCCCACTCATCTGGCCTCGCAATTCCACCTGCTGGACCTGCGCGGCTTCGCGGCCCTAGGGGTCACGCCCGCCGACTTCTGGGCCATGCTGCGACCATCCAAACTCACCACCATCACCCTGGACTTTCTCGACCCGGACTCGCTCGCCACCATCGTCCGGAACTTCTGGGACGCCGGGCTCGAGGCGGACTTCCGCCCTGTGCGGCTTACCACCAATCTCCTCGACAACTCGATCGATGAATTCCTGCGCGCCTTTAGTGGGCTGGAGGTCTTTCATGGCACCCCGATCCGCGGCCAAACGTCTAGTCAGCTGGTGGCCTGTGAGTCGTTCTTGGAGGTGCTGGAGACGCAGCATGGTGCCACCTTGAAGGTGCTGGGTCTAAGCCTGCCGTGCCACGAGGACCGACCCTGCTCCTGCGCAGAGTTGCTGACCCTGATTGCATCGAGGTTTCCGCAATTGGAAGAGCTTCGGATTCGACAAGATAAGGTCGACGTTGTCAGAAAATCTCTCTTTTCTTGCTCTTTTCTTGCTCTTTGCCCTTTGCCCTTTGCCCTTTGCCCTTTGCCCTTTGCCCTTTGACTCCTCCTCCTCCTCCTCCTCCTCCT